TTATTAGGTAATTATTCTAAAATATTATTTTAATTATTTTATTTGAAAAAAATCGTTTTAAATATAAAACAATAATAGTAAATAGTTGATATTGTGTGTGTAGATGCATAGTTGTTTTTTAATAAAATCAATGATTTTAATATTATTATTTTGTATACATTATGACCATACTCAATAGGTGAGAATGTATAAAATAAAATTAAAAATATTTTTAAAAAGTTACATAGTAAAATATATATTGAAGTTAATAGAGTTCGAGTAAAAACTATAAAATTGATTTCGATATAATTTGATTATACATTCAATTTTAAAATTTGATTATATAAAATAAAAATAATAGGTATAAAAAAGCTTATTCAAAACCATACATAGAGAAAATAAGTTATATCTATTAATAAATAAAATTATATAAAAAACAAGAATAAAAATTAAGTTGATGAGAATTTTTATCGAAAAAATTTATTGTAAACAATAATAGTAGTTTATTTATTCTAAAATCTTAAAGCATATCATATAAATGTAAAAATTATCATATATATTATGTAATTGTCACTTTGTATATATATATATATAAAGAATAACGTTTGATTTTTTAAAATCTTAACACCTAATTAAATAAAAAAATAAATTGATGAAAAAAAGCAAAGAAAAAAGAAGAAGAAAAAGGCATATGTAATACATCGGTTAGAGGATTAAAATTTTTATTTTAAAATTTTAGAGATCAAAATAAAATAATCTAAAAATTTTTAAAAATTAAATAAAAAAGAACCTAAATTGATGAATAAAAAAAGCAAAGGAAAAAAAAGACATGTATAGTGAAACTAAAAAAAAAAGAATATATCATATAAATATAAAAAATAATATATATATAATTATATTGTCATTTTGTGTTAAAAAAATAAAGATAATTTTTTCAAAATTTTAACACCTAATTAAATAAAAAAGATCTTAAATTGATGGAAAAAAGCAAAGAAACATATAAATGTAAAAAATATCGAATATATTATATAATAGTTAGTTTTGGTAAAAAAATAATGATTGATTTTTAAAAATTTTAATAACATCTAATTAAATAAAAAAAGAACATAAATTGACAAAAAAATTAGCAAAATTGATTTTTCAAAATTTTAACACCTAATTAGATTAAAAAAACATAAATTGATGAAAAAAAACCATGTGTAGTGCATCGGTTAGAGGATTCAAATTTTTGTTTTAAAATTTTAAAGATCAAAATAAAACAAACATGGAAATTTTAAAAAGTTAAAAGAACCCAAATTGATGAGAAAAAGAAAGGGGAAAAAAAAGAAAAAAACATGTATAGTGAAACTAAACTAAAAAAAAAAAAAAGATGAAACTAAACTACTTTTTTTTTAAAAAAAAAAACTTGCTTTGTAAAAAGTGGAAGAAAGGCCGGGAAAGGGCAAAAAAAAAAAAAAAAAAAAACAATAAATTGTTTTACCACCAAAAAAAAAAGCTAAAAAACACTGTTCATTAAACAGTAAAATGCACAGTGAATGTGCCTTATGTTTTAGAGTATCAGTAATATACTTTGCTGCTGATCTATAGAAGGTTTGGTGCATGGAAAACCAAAAAAGCCGCGAGATGCCCTACGCATGCCAAAAAACGGCAATAGCATGCGAGCATGGAGTTACGGAATTCTCGTCAGCTTCGCATTATTGGTAGTTACTGTTTGTTGTAGCTGTTGTGGTCGTTTACTCGTTTCATCTTGGCCCTCGCTCACGTCACAGCGATGCTAAGGCTACTACCTACCATCTTGCAAGAGGTTCTTGTTTTTCAGATGTCAAATTCTGCAATTCAAAGAGCCTGGTGTTCAAGAGGCAATGTTTTAGAGTTAGGTTATTTTTCACAACTTTTGAATTTTAATTTTAAGTTAGTTTCAATTTTTTACTTAAAAAAAATCATCAATATGTTTCGTTAACAGTAATTTTTTTACTTGAATAAAAAGTTTGCTATAAAATTGGATCAAAATTTTTAATTTTTGATTGATTAATTCTAATTGATACTAATCTTTATTCTTTATAAAAGTTTTCATGAGACATTTTTTTACCAAACGTACTTATATCTTAATAATTTTTTTATTATAAATTATCTATGAAAGAGTTATGACTCAAAATCAAAATTTATTTTTTACAAGTCATAACAAATGGTCTCTTAATATAAAACACTTCATCCAAGGACTCAACCTTGTTATTTCTTACTTGATGATCAACGACCACCTTTGAATCGAGAAAGAGTGCTAGAGATAGGTTTTTTTTTTTAATGGATAATAATAATAAATAGATTTTCTGCATTTAGATTTAAAATTTTGTACAAAATAAGCTTTCGCTTGAATAGATAATTTAGAGATGCTACTTAGATATTTTAGAGATGACTAGCATATATCTCGCGCGTTGCCGTGAGATAAATTATATATCATTCTTATGCATTCATTAATATAAAATTTAACATTTACAAATCATTATTTGACAATATCATGCGAAACTAATTTAAAAAAAAAACTAAAACATATATTTCATAATTTGCTATAGGGTTAGCTAATGAAAAATCTGTAAAGTTAATTAATATAATATTGCTAATTATATATTTTTTTATAAATATGTATTTTATTAATAGCTGATAATTAAAATAATAATGTGATGGTTTTTTAAATTTTTGATAATTAATTTTTACCATATATTATTCATATGTAATTTATTAACGAGATAGAGAGATCACTCAAAACAAAAAGATAAAAAAGCTCTATCAAATCGAGAACTTGAAAAAAAAATAGAGATAAAATTACACATGATAAAAATTAAATGATTAAAACAAAGTAAATATTATAAAAGCATAAAAATAAATAAATAAAACTTTCACTAGAAGCATACAAAAAATACTTATAAATAACAAGACTAAAATTTTTTTATTATGCATAAGGCAAGAACAAAAGTAAATATTATAGAATTTTAATGACTAAAATAAAAAAAAATTAAAAACATAAGAATCAAAACAGAAATTTTTTCACTAAAAAAAAAAAACTTATGATAGTTAAAATCTATTTAATTTTAATGCATAATGATTAATGATTAAATATAATAAAAGTTTAATGATCAAAATAAATGAAAGATCATAACAAAAAAACCAAAATATAACAAAAAGTTTTATTAAAAGTAAAAAATAGTTCCTTGTAGGAAAAAAATTTAATTATCAAAATAAAAAACAAGTACAAAACAAAGACTAAAATTTTTTTTTACTAAATTTAATGACTAAAAGAAAGAAAAAATAACAAAATAGAAAGAAAATTTTAGTAAAAAAAAAAACCTTAGGATAGTAAATTTTATTTAGTTTTAGCACGAGTAAGGATAAAAATTAAATATGAGAAAATTTTCACAACTAAAATAAAAACATATTAAAAAACAGAAAAAAACATAAATTTTTACTAAAAGTTAAAAAAAATTTGATTATAAGGATTAAAATCACATATAATAATATTTTTGATATGGATAAAAATCAAAGCTTAGAAAAGATGAATGACCAAAATTAAAACAAAAAGATTGAAGGGACCAAAATAAATAACAATTTCCTAAGCCAAAACAGAACAAAAAAAAAAAAACCGAGGACTGCAACTTCCGGCGATCTAGGTCATCGAAATCTTTGTCGAAGGTCGGGGTTCAAGTTTCGGACCCTTATAAATTGAATTCGGCATCATTTTTTTCTCAAACACCTCTAAATGACCGGAATAAAGTCAATAAACATATCTAAAACCTTAAAAATTATTTTCATGCATAGAAAAACAAAAAATTACAAAATCAAATCGGAACTTTGTTTCCTTTTTTTGGCTCCGATCTACCTCCTCTAATGGTTTAATGGCTTGAAACAATCATGTACAAACTCATCTCTTAAAGATAAACAAATCTAGTGGATTTTCGCCGACCAAAACGGCCTAAATAAGCTTGGTCGATGACTTTCTCTCTCTTCCCTCCTCCCTTCTTTCTCATCCGGGGATCAAAATGGATGAGTAAATGAAGATGTGGATTGAAAGATTAGTTAGAAAAGATCGTGGACCAAAGTATAAAAAATCAATAAATAATGAATTGTGAGTGTATGAACAATATTTGGAACAATAAATAGACGTTTTGTTTTAGTTTATTTAGTTAATTACTTGATCACAAATAGTGGCGAGTGGAAAACACATCAACGCACCATGTAGTTTTAGTTATTTTGCAATCTTTCAACTAGTAATCTTGCTAAATATCAATACTATTCATTAATCATTTTTTTTTCAGATATTTTTATCTCATATTAAAAGCGATAAGATTTAATTTTTTTCAATAAATATGATTTTAAGATTCGAATTCTATCCATTGATAAAAAAAATTATCTAAAAATTAAATTGTTTACTACTGAACCATTGACAAAAAAATTGTCTAAAAACTAAATTGTTTACCAGTAAACCAATAACTATTTATATTTTTTTTCTTTTTCAACAAAAAGTACTAAACACTTTTGGATAGCTTAATGCAGGTCTAATACCATGATCAAAACAAACGTAGGCTCAATAGGTAAATAAACTTCCCTGAACGTTCTCTATGTTTTTATTTCCTTGATAAATTCACTCAAATTAAGAGGGTTATTTTGATTTTTGAACGCACTAAGGTTAGGAACCTCACTCTCTCTTGTGTTATTGGGCTAAACACCCAGTTTGCTAACTTATTAAATTGAACTCTAGAAGAAAAAAAATGATTACAGCTAAAAAATTTAAAACTTTAACTAAGCAATAAAAAAAAATTTCATCCAAAATCAACTCTTGCATTAGAACCGATCAAAATTTCAAATTTATCCTCTCTCTCTCATTTTTTTTACATTCCCCGTGACATGTTAATTCTTTATTTCTTATTAGGAAGAAATAAAATAAAATTATTCATTATGCAACACCTCAAATTTGGAAACCAGCACATCTCAAGTCCAAGCCCGTTTCCCTACCCAAAACTTTGCAAAATATGGACTGGCCCAATAGCCCAAACATTGCAACACCTTCTGCTTCGAAGTCCTCCTGTAATTTAGATCAAACGCTAAAACCCTAGAGAAGAAACAACAGAAATTCCCTTCCCTTTCAATTTTGAAACACTGAAACAATTTTTTAACGCTAAAGTTAGGTAAATAGAAAAATCAGATCACAAATGGAAGGGGGGTTGGTGGCAACGGAAAAGAGAGAGAAGAGGAACAAGACGGCATGTCCGTACACTCTCAATGCAAAGCTCCTCCTTCCTCTGCTTCCTCTCTCCCTAAGGTCTCTCTGGCACACACACACACACACACATATATATATATATTTTCATGTGGCATTTTAATTGGAGTTAAAAATCTCTATTCTTTCGGGTTAATTAGGAGCAATCACAGGTGGAATTGGAGCTAAGACTTTTAGAAGCGCTTGAAATTTACCCTCCAGTCAAACTAAGAGGCAGGTTCTTCAATTTTCCCCTTCAGTTTCAGTTTTATCTAGTTCCGAGTACCTCAGTTTGCTCGATTGTGGGGTATTTGATTTGATTTTTGTTGAATAAACTTGAATAGGAATTGTGTTGTTTTGTCACATGTTCTGCACCAGCAATTGTATGAATTAAATTAATTAGTTGAATGGAAGATGCTGTGTGATGAATATGCCAGTGTGGCTACCGTAACAGCTTGTTTAATGAATTTCGTATGTTGAGCGTTATGTGATTATGTTATGATGCTATTTGTTGGGAGTTTTGCGGGATTTTCTTCATTCGCTATTATTTACTAGCAACAGTTTTTTGGTCCGTAGACTTTTTTCAGGAAATTTGCAGTTCGGTACCAAGACTGTTGATGCGTTATTTTGTTTTGATGATAAGAATACAAAGCATACACATTTGAGAAGAAATTTGCTAAATCAGTACTTTCTATGTGAGATTTTTTATGAGACAAATATAATTCTAGCAATTAATTCATCCGAGTAATTAATGAGAGACTAGAGATATCTCTAGTTCCTTTTTTAATTCCATTTATTTCTTTATTATTTTAAGGACTAAACAAAATATTTGAAAAAAATCTTTTCATGCAGGCATGCATCGCCATTTTGTACTTTATGGTCTGATGGAATTTCTTCGGAGAAGGTTGTTCTTTCTCTCACTCTGTTCCCTTTCTAAAAGTTTTCATTTACATGCTTTAACACATTGATCACTCTGTCACAGCTTTGATCGACAATTTTCTCCAGATGAGGTTTTGCAGTTGCTGGACCGTTTCTATAACATTGAAATGCTGGTATTTAATTTCAATGATATTTTTTGTTTTAGTTTTCATTTTCAGCTTACTAAAGTTAATACTGCTAACAATTCATTTGAAATGCTTTGCTGCTGCAAATTCGTTTCAAATAAATGTTGGAGATTTTTTATGCTCGTATGAATTGATAAATGTCTCAGCTCTGCTTGATGCTAAATTTGACTCACTTCATTACTGAACCTTGCATTGTTTCCTGCAGAAGGAATAGTGCTCAAATTCTTAAAGTAATTGTATGAAGTTATATGATGACATGTAATGTGTGATCATTGAAAGATCAAAGTTTTCACAATCAAGTATTTTAGTCTATGCCTCTTGAATATTACTTGTGTGTTTTTTCTGCTTTTGCTTTTTACACACCATCTCTATTTTCTTTATGAGAACATACAATGTGTGCTCTGATTTTGGCTCGTTTCTTTTAAATTTCAGAAACCAGATGATGAAGAGGCAGAAATTCTGAATCACGAGGAAGATTTTTCCTTGCCTCAAAGCTATTTTGTAAAGGAAGAGTGAAATAGATCATTTTGACTACATCTTCCCTTTTGGACTCCTTACCCAACAATCCTGGCTGGGAGCATATTTCTTGATCAGATCACAAATCCATAACTGGGTCAAACTTGAGAGGAGTCGATGTTGCTCAGAAATCTCTTGAAGGGCATTGTGAATGATCCTTTTAATTCTTTTCCCTCATGACTCATTTCTCGTTTAGTAAGACAAATATGTAAATGCTAGTTGATATAGTGTCATTTACTTTCTTAGCCACTATCGTTTCCAGTGGGTTTTGATCGTTATCATATATATATTTATGGTTTTGGAATTTTAGATGGAGGAAGAGATTTTAGGGAAAAAGCTGTAGTCAGATAGTCTGATTTTAGAAGACAGCCGATACAAGGTTGGTGAGGGCCTAACGATAATGAGGATAAGTGCGTTAGGAATTTAGGATGCGTTTTCATTTCTAATGATTTCGGGTTTCAATCAATCTTATGCGTTCGTCCCAAAAGGAGATTAATGTAGTGCAAGAAGCAGAAGAATTTGATAATTTCTTGGTGTGCTCAAGCATCTTCCTTGACTTGACCCATTAAAATAACTAGACGTTGTCCTTCGATGGGTAGCAAAGCATACTCTATGAATGATGATCGGTTCTTCCATTGATTTGTCTTCCGTTTTGAATTTTCACAAGTGGGAGTAGTTAGACGCAGATAAACAGCTAGACGGACGTCGTCTATGACTTGAGAAGATATAGCATGATTCAAACATGAAACTAGAAATGTTTTTTTTTTAAAAAAAAAACTGGAAGCTTAATAAGGCTTCCCTTATCACTTAATCAATCTCTTGGGACGACAAAATAATTCCGTTTAAGAAAAAACTATTACACAAGCAAAATACTTCCAATGAAGAAATTAGCTAGTTTTTTTTAGAAGGAAACGGATAATTCCGAAGACTGCGACATCAAGAAATGCTTACTATGCACCCTTTATCAAATTGCTTCACAGCCTAATGTCGCAGCTTATCACTTCTCAGAAGTGTCGTCAAAGAACCCTGGGAGCCCTTGACGGTAGGGATATAGTTCCAGGTGTCAATGTTAAAACTGGCTGAAAGAAAACAAAATGAACTGCAAGACATGCCCTTAGTGATGAAAAATTACATTTCAGTTCTTACAAATTTGTTTTGTGTCATTTCAACTCCTATAGGTTTGTTTTCTCAATATTCATCCATCTTGAAGTTTACAAAAGTTTCCATTTGACCCTTGGTCAATAAATAGCTGGAATCTAATGAAATTCTCCTCTTATTTTTTTTCTCTATTTTTGGTCACATTTTAAACTTTTTTCCCCCATCCTTTTGTTTCCAATTTAACGTAATTGATAATATTCCACTGTGAAAGAAAGAAAAAAAAAACCTAAAAAGAACAATATTTCAAAAAGTGAGGCCTCCAAAAGCTTTGGTCAGCTATTTAATGCTAAATGGTCATATTAATTATAATAATTGGTTAAAGACTCACAATAAAATTGTTCTATTAGTACTTTGAACCTATGATCTTTTATTGTAAGAGATCATTGTCATTAAGTTATAAGTTGATTAAATTTTATATACTTATTAGAATGGTATCGATTGAAATGTAATATAATTAAATCTTAAAGGATTCAAATATGACATATCATTATTCACTTGTGCAAATTTATATATATTGTTCTTTGCAAACATTTGAATTTAATAAAAGACTTTGAACCGTGATCATGAAAATCTTAAATAAATAATTAAAAAAAAAACGAAATTTGATCACATAATTGCCAACATGGGATGTATTAAAAAAAGAAGAAGAACAATTAATACAAAATGATTTACCAACAAACTTTTCATCATTTAAATTTTCATAAGACGTGTCCTATTATAAATGTTAAAATGTGAATCTCATATATAACTAATAAATGATTAGTTTCTAACGAAAGAAGCAACTATCATTTGTCTGAAAATTTTGTTTGTTTTACTCAGGATTGATTCTAATAAAAGCCACATTGCTTTCGATACATGTCCCTTTACTGCTTTGAAAATGTTGTTTGAGTTACCCATGAAGATTGATTTTAATAAAAGGCACATTGTTTTTTATAAATGTCCTTCTACTGTTCAAATATAATATGTCATAATTCACTTGTGAACATTTTGTTCGTGTTTCTCAGATTTGTGTTTCAACCGATTTCTGTAATCTAAAAGGGTTCAAATATGATATATCATTTTCGTTTTTGAACTATTAATTGTCTTTCTGTAACGAGTCTCCAAATCTTAGTTAAAACATTGATTGCATGATCCGTTCTTCTATTCTTAACATGTTTTTTAACTGTAACTTTTTTATTATTATTTATCAAATCCTTTATTTTTTAAAATTTTTTTAATATGATTCTTTTGATGATTTTTTGTCCGATTTTTTCTAAGCGAAAATGATAGGTGGGGAAAAAAAAATCAACACCTATAATGCCATGTTAGATAAAATTGCAACGTGGTAAATTTTTTTTTTGTTTGAAAAATTAGCTGAAAAAAATGAAAAAAAAAATTGTTTTGGTATAAAACAAAATAGAAAGAAAATTAAAAAAATAAAAGTTGCAGATTTTTTTTTAAAAAAACCAAACTTTCTAGTGTTCCCTTCTCTTCATCTTCAACGATCTTTAGGTTTTTTTTTTTTGATAATTAGAAATGAAGCATCTAGAATGGAATTTCACACTTCAATTTTTTATGTTGAAGTGTTTGGTAACATGAAATCAAATAGGAATCAGAATAAACTTTTTTGGATTTTTTATTACTGCGTGGGAGGCGAGTTTGAGAGAAAAAGTACATATGGGAATTGAAAAAAAAAGAAAAGCGCTATTTTTTTTCTTGTCTAAAAGATATCCTTAGGTTTTTAATTAATACTACATACGTATGTACCACTATAAATACTACTGTCTTTTTAGTCTTCTTTTAATCAGACCTAATTAGTTACAAAAAACTACAGTGTAGTCTCTCTCTGTTCAAACACGCGCTTTCTCTTTCTTTTCTATTTTTTTTTACTATCTTGAAATAACACACATCAATTGAACTTGTTATTTTACATGTAATATTCTTTTTTTTTCTTGTTCATATATATATTTTTTTCTATCAAGCAATTTTTAAAGTATGAGTTTACTTCATTGGTTCGTGGAAAAAATATTGTAAAATTGAAGTAATTTATAAGAAAAATGTTATTTCATTGGAATGATTTCTGGGTTCTTTAATTTTTGAGTTGCTTAATTTCTGAATTCTTTATAAGAAAAAACAATTTTACTAGGATGATTTCTGGGTTTACTTTATCAGTTCACCAGCTGCTTGACCCAAAAAAAAAAAAAAAAATGGAGGGCTACAGGTAGAAAGACAAGAACAAAAAAGGGTTTATCTTCAACAGAGGAATATAATGTTGGGGGGAAAGGAAGCTTGGAAAGATGGTGAAGTTTTGATGGCATAGAAAGAAAGAGAGACAGAAAGGAAAATACAGTCGGTTTGCTAAGAATAAGAGAGGTTGGTATAGGTTTTGTTTACAAAAAGCAAATAAAAGAAGGGTTGGCCATAAAGTTCTGACAAAGTCAAATCTTTTTGTTAGAATGTATGAGTGAAGTGTGGATTTAAATCAGAGATATCCGGCTTGTCTTTGAATTGGATTCAAAGCTAAGCCTTATCCTTGCCTATTTCTGAGTTCAGCTATTCGCTCATTTTGTGAGATTTTTTTTTTTTTTTGAAAACATAACATTATCAATTATTTTCCTTCGAAATCCAAGTCTTCTACACCTTATAAAATGGTTTTAGTCTGAAGAATTAAATTGCAATTTCTATAGGAGACAATTAGTGTTACTTCCACCTTTTATTTTCTTTTAGTTCTAGAAGCAGCTGACAGTTCTCAAAACCAGCATTTTAACAAAGTATAAAATAACCCTGTTTTCTTTTTATTCAATTTCTAGCATAATAAACAAAAAAATGAATCTGGTTATATAAGTTAAAAAATATATATACATATACCCCAGGGTATCCCACGCTCATCTAACGCGATATATTATTGTTGGATATTTATATATATAGTGTTAGATATATTTAATTGTAAAGCCACTTGTCTGTACAAAATATCTCACCTGCCTCGTCCACCACACAACAAAGGTACTGTTGGACACATCTTGGAGAGCTGCATTCAAACTCAACAGTATCATAGCTTCTACAAGTCAAGTCAAGATGCTATCTATTCATCCGAAATAGGAAAATCAAAATACAAGGGGAAATTTGGAGCAAATAATCCATTACAAACAAAGTTTATGAAGCTATCAAAGTGTATCAAGGTGTTTTTTGATAATGACAAATTAAGTGTTTGAAATGAGAATTCACATTTCATTTCTAAACATTGGAGTGTTTGCTGACTTGAAATGACATGAGTATGAAAATATAAATAAAAAATGAGAATAAACTTTCACTTAAGAGAGACAATGAACATGTGAGGATGAAAAAAAAAGTTTATCCAAAAAATATCCTTAGCTTTCACTCAATACTACATTGAATGCCACTACCATTATAAATGCTACCGTCCCCCCATCATACCCATCATACCCAATTACCCAGCAAACCTACAGTCTCATCTCTCTCTCACAAATATGTAAAGTTTTCTCTTTATTTATTTATTTTTTTTGTTTTGAGATAAATCTAAACTGAAATTATTTCTTTTTCTCTCTGATCATACCTAATTAGCCACTAAAAATGCACGATAAATCTAAAAGTTTAGTTAAAGTTGAGAAGGAATCAACATATGCTAATATTGAAAAAAAAAAACAAAATGTTTGAAACTTTATTGAACCTTGAAGGATTTTTTTCCAGCTAAATTAGTTAAAATAACAAGTGTTATTAGTCAAAATGATAATAAAGTTGAAAGTGTTTTTTAGTATTTAAGATGAAGGTCTTGTTTGCACGCATCGAAATTGGGTCTATAAATTAATTTCTTTTGAGTTGTTGCTACAATTAATAGTAATTGATTATTTTTTTAAAAAATAAATTTGCCTTCTTTTTGAAGTTAATTGACAGCAATACTGTTGTTTTATTAATCATATTAATCAATAATACTTCTTCTTCTTTTTTGTAATGACTATTTAAAGAGTGAATTTTATCTTTTTTTATTTTTTAGGTATTACAAACTTTTAACTTAGTTGAATTATAATTTCTTATTAATAGGGATCAAGTCAATCTAAAAATTGGTATTAAAAGACGTCATGAACCATTCAAGCCAGTCCTTAAACTATTTTGGATATGTACATGAAAGATATCACACGAGAGAGTAAGTGAAAGCCTAAAAAAAGAAAAATAAAATAAAATAATTATGCAACATGTTATATTTTGATAATTTTGTTTCTTAATTTTTCTTTTCATGTTTTTTTTTAATCTTATATGTGACTAAAAAAATTGAATTACATGATAGCACAATAATAATAATAATAATTTGGAAGCAAACAATATACATATAATGTACGAGAAAAAAATATTATCTACAATATATCGAGTTGAATAGAAAAATATAATGATGTAATCTGCAGGTTTATTGTAAAAATTCGAACTTGAAGGAAAACAATATATATATTACAAAAAAAAAATGTGTACAAAACAATTAGCTTGTTTTTAAAGAATAAAAGAAAAATCTTCAAATAATTTTTGTATATACAAATTTTAATTGCTTTATGATAAAATTTATTATGGATACAATGGTAGATAATTATATGTTTATGATTTTTGTTTGTTTGCGCCAAAAAAAAAAAAAAACATGAATCGTTATGGTAAGATAACAAACCCAACAATTAGATTCTGGAATGTGATTCCGACTCTTTAATCACCATTTGGATTCCTTCATTTTTATTTTGAACTATTCATTTGTAATTACTAAATAACACCTTAAAAATTCACTCTCTCCGTTTTATTTTTATTTCTCTTTCAGACTCAAAATTCTTCACAAACCCATATACATGACCTTGAATCATGTGATAACCGTTACAAAATCCCAGCATCCACTGATTTAATTGTACTAGTGAATAAAATCTAGAAAATGTTTCAAACTTTGTAACCCAGTTTTTATAAAAAAACAAACTTACTATTCTCACTCATCTATTTTGATCTAACCTAGCATATCCAGAATCACAATGGAAAGAAAAAGAGCCAACATTTGCAATTAATCCCTTCATCCTCCAAACAATAACAGGAATCTCTCTACAATACCCACTCTAGCTTGTGATGAAGACGACATAAATAGCAGCAGTAAATCATGTGGTTATCACAAGAACGCAATTTTTAATATAGTTTTTTTTTTGGGAAAAAATTCTTGAGAAATATCAAATTTATGTTATTTTGATTTTTAAATATTTTTATTTCTCCACCGGCTTGTTTTTATGCAGTAGTCAAGACTAGAGCAAAAGTTGATGGTAGAACGAGCACTAAAAAAATAGAGTTTTTAGCTTCTTTTTTTAATTGTAATCTCAATGCCATTTTTAGAGGTCTAATTTAGTTGTTTTGTGAGTATAATCTTCATATTATCATCCAGAGTTAAATCCTAGAAGAGACTATAAAAAATTATTTTTGTGTATACGCATCAAAATAGTTCTGTTTAAAATCTGACCGAAGAAAGAATTTAATCTCTAATATACAAAAATTAATCTGAAAATATCTTTATCTATCTTTATCGTAAAGACAAAAAAAGCTAAAAAAAAAAAAAACTACAAATAGTAAAGCACCATATAAAGTTAAAAAGAGGAAGCTATAAAAGCAAGCTGTGCGGATAAATAACAGAAGGTAAACTAAAGAGGGTCCATGATTTTGATACGAAGTTCATGTATGCAAGAACAACGAATGAAAGAAAGAAAGAAAAAAGTAAACGAAATTTCTGTTTAAAATAAAAGAAAGGAACGAAAACGAATAGCAATTGGTCAATCGTATCATCAGCTTTTGGTAGGATTCGAAAAGAGCAATGGCATCAAAAACTGTCATGATTGTTCCATCGAATCCCTTGGTCAGGTGAGCTAACAAAAGCATGCCACTTCTGCAAATTGCAAAGTAGTTTAGCATCCACTTCCTCGGTTCTCAAACTCCCCTTCAGTGCTGCAAAGAAATTACAATTTTAGTATGGCAGCGGGAAAAAAACCAGAAGTATAGTTTATTCAATAGAAGCAATTATATGAGAACTAACCTCTCCTTCGGCAGGCTTTTCCTTTGATTCTTCACCTTTGAAGTTATCATCACCTACATGGTGCAACTTGTCTGAGATAAAGTTTGAAAAGTAACTTTTTTTTTTGGCATAAATTAAAGAAAAATCAACAAACGGTATTCCTTGATGTAAGCCAATCAAAGGAAATATGAGGAGTGGCCAACAAAATGGTGGCACATCCAGCATTTTTGAGCATGTTAAAATCCATCATGATCATCTCATCTTTAAGGTGACAAGAATATGCTTATCCTCCTCCCCTCTACTTTTCAAGGGTGAGTATAACATGGTCTGCCAGGGCCCCACTTCGATGAGACCATGATTTTGTTATAATACAACGTTAATTCCTCAGTTTCTCACTCAGATTATAACATACCTCCATCTTCAGGCAAGTCAGAAGTCCAGAGAGTAAGGTTATCTCTCAACAACTGCATAATTAAGGTGCTGTCCTTATATGATTCCTCACTCAAAGTGTCCAACTCTGCAATTGCCTCATCAAAAGCTTGTTTGGCCAGATGGCAGGCCCTGCAAGTATTAACATTAGAGCGTAGATCATCAGAAAGTCATGAGCACAGTGTGATACAATTTGGCAGCCTTAGATTACAAAAAAATTATAATCTAACGTGCCTCTCAGGAGAATTCATGATCTCATAGTAGAAAACAGAGAAGTTAAGGGCAAGGCCAAGACGAATTGGGTGGGTTGAGGGCAGATCTGTGCTTGCAGTAGTAGAAGCAGCCTAAAAGAGAGATGGAAACACGAGGAGCACATCAACTGGTGACAAAATTAGAGAATCCCATAAAAAAGAATTTATGAAAGAGAAACCAAAGCAACATGCCTCGTAACCCTTTAATGACTGCTCGGCCGCTTCCTTCCGTTCTTGATCACTCTTGAACTCTGCTAGATAGCGGTAGTAGTCCCCTTTCCTGAATTCATGGATGCCAAGAACCAATATTAAGAAAATAAAAAAAGGCCTCTATATATCACTACGTTCATGCCTTTTTTACATAAAGCGCTGCTGGGAACTAATTACCTGATTGGAAAAAGATATAATGACACGCACTTATGACCAAAGTCGTAGCACACAAATGCCAAATTAAATTGCGGTCTTTAAATTTTATGATCGTATGATTAGATCCTAAACCAACAAAAAAATTAAAATCATCTTATCTTTTTGTTATTTTTTCTCTAGTGACGGGAGGTAGAATTTTTTATACTTCTTTTGGTAAATTAATAGCCCCGCTTAACAAAAATTATCTTTTTAACTATTTTCAAATAAAGTTTTCTATTAAAAAAATATTTCAAATAAAATAAAAATAAAGTTTGGCATTCACATTTCACCAATTAAGAAAAAAAAAATACAATCTAATGAGCAGATAATATTTCTTATAATTCTCCATAAAAATTTTCATATTTGAAAAAGTTTTATGATAACTTTATTATTGTTGTTACATACAATATATATGCTATAGAAATGAAAAAATATATTAATAATTTTTAGAATTACATTATCAAACAATAATTGAAATAGATTATATTTTTTTTATTGGAAATAAAATTACTTTGAGAAAAAGAACTTAATACCATCTATATGATTGTGTTGGTAAAAAAAAAAAAAAAACAGTGAATGAAAAAATAGCTGTAAGAACTCGTTCTTGAAAAGAAAAAAAGATACTAAACAGAAAAAAATAAATTTTATCGGTTAATTAGAGTTTTTCAACATTTTTAGTAAGATGAAGTTAGTAAAATCACTTAAAAACATATACATTATAATCAACTTTAATAGTATTCTTCTAATCACTTAGTAAAATATAGTATATAGTTCTATCCATGACTGCAACATTGGTGTCTTCGATGTGTTTGTATATAAGTGACAGCATACAAACAAAAAATAAACAAATTACAATCAACTTTAATAGTATTTTTCTAATCACTTGGTAAAATATAGTTCTATCCATGACTTCGACATTGGTGTCTTCGATATGTTTGTATATAAGTGACAGACTACAAACAAAAAATAAACAAATGAACAAGAAACAAAAGAATCTTAGCTTATAGATTAATTTGTCCAAATTATTAGTACATAGACTGTTTTGTATTCTAGTATCAAATTTTAGGATTGAAGTGAAATTTTTAATAAGACAAAATAGACTATAAGTCCAAAAAAAAACTTTCTTTTATATAATATCCAAAGTTTCCTATCCTTTTTATCTGTATATATGTTTTTAATTTTTTTTTATATATTCAATCAATTTTTTTACCATCAAAATATTTTTTTAATCAAAATATCTTGGATTAAAATGTAAAAAAAAATAATCAAAATTAAAACATACAGATCATATATATATATATATATATACACACACACATTAATAAAGGGTATTTCAATAAAAAAAATTAAAGACAAATTCAACATTTTAAAAATTTTCAGAGACAAATAGAATGTAATTAGAAACCTAAAAATTAATAATTTTTTTGAATATTAGATAAGAAAATATGTATCTATTTACTTAAAAAAAAAAAAAAAAAACCCAACCGTTAAGTTTTGTATGTTGTGAAACTGTGTTATGTCACTATATTATAAGGCTAATTGATTCTATAGCATAAAGACGTAGTAAATCATTACACAGTTCATGAAATTGCTGCTTAGACGTGTTGATAAGCAGGAGAAGAGGATGAATCTGCAAACAGGGTGCGATGCCCCTTATGTGCACCACTTGTTCAAGAGGCAGGAAAGGTAACTAGTCATCAGATGAAGAAAAACATTTCCCCTTTCCCTTTCATGTATATAAATTCGACGATGGAAAAAGCAAAAAAAGAAGAAAATGACTATAGGATCGAGGATAAAATTAATAAAAGATCAGCTCTAGAGTTCAACATATATAACTCACATCTTGTAGTAGAACACAGTTGCTTCTCCTGCGGTGGAAGAGGGGATGAGATGCTCATCAATGATGGACAGAATGTCGTTGCATATTTTGGAGAGTTCCTCCTCTACCTTCTGGCGGTAACCCTTAATCAGTTTAGCATTGCTGTCATTTCCTTTAGATTCTTCCTTCTGCTCAATTGAAGACATGATTCGCCAAGAAGCTCGCCTAGCACCAATTACATTTTTGTATCCCACGGAGAGGAGGTTCCTTTCCTCCACAGTCAGGTCCAAGTTAAGTTTGGCAACTTTTTTCATGCTCTCAACCATTTCTATTCCATCAATTCAGATATATAAAATGAAAACGGAGGCACATAAATGAAATCCAAAAAAAATTGATCAACAATCACATTAATAAACCAGATACCAAAATCCAACCAAAACATGAAATGTAAACGTGCAGTGTTTTTTTTTTTTCAGTATATTTTCCTAAAAAAAATCCAATTATCCAGTAAAAAATCAATGCCTACCTACTCAGAAGTAACAACGAAAAAGCGAGTAGTAATAAATGAAGTTACCTTCATAGCGCTCAGCCTGTTCGGAGAGCTTGGCCATGTAAACGTGCGTCTCTCTCTCCTTCTCGGTCGACATTGTTGTTTATTTGCTGTGAGAGATATGATCGATCAGATCACAATTAATTCACAGAAAAATCAATAATCTCCAAACAGATTTTTTTTTTTCCCAAGAGGTCTGAAAGCGAAGAAAAGGGAAGCGTGCTTTAAATAGAATAGAGCAAGTGGTGGGGAGAGGAGAAAGACCAGATCTGGACCGTTAGTTGGGTTCGGGGATGTTGAAAGAGGAACCGCGCTTTTCGTGATTTTATTTCCTACCTTAGCTTGATCGATTCAATCCTTTCTGTCAGAGGGGTCCTTTCGAGATTTTTCAGCTACACCTATTTCTTTTTCTCCACTTGTATCTCCTTGTATATATTTCTATTAGAATTTCAATCGTAAAATAATTTTATTTGTGCCACTCGGTCAATGTAATATATGTGTGACTTAATCCATTTCCCGGTTGGGGGTCAGTCTCGTCTAGGGAAACGTTTTCTTCGTGTTTTAAGGCCTGGTTAAAGCCCAATATGGGAACAAACCTATCTTAGAAGCTTTGAAGAGTTGATGTTGACAAGCAAAGATGTCTAGAAAACTAGCAAAAAAGACATTTGATATGGACTCTTTAAGAAAGAAGCTTTAACTTGAAAAGGGTTCGGGTATGGACTATCTTGAGTAGAGCAGAGATTTCATTACCAAAGTCCGACCATGACTGAAATACCTATAGAAGAAAATACCACTACTGGTCCTGACTCACACAATATGAATCGGTAAGTATTATATTTAATTTGATGGGTACTTTAATTATTTTGCACGTAAGTGGAGGACCTAAAAGCATTGCAGTCTTATTTCTCATGTTTCAGGACGATTTTGCACAAATTGAGATTAAGTAAATCTTTGATTGGATTTTAAGCAAATTATTCACAGTAGATTTCAAGTATATATATATATTATGATTCTTCTTAGGATTTAATTTCTAGATAATAATATGATGAGAAGCAAACTCATCCATTAGCTATCAAGGCTAAGTTATCAAGAATTCTAATTTCTTATATACAAAATCTTTTATTCGAAGAGCATTGATTGTTCCATTTTATATATATATATATATATATATATTTTGGAAATGATTGAATGCGACAGAGTAAATTATAAATTATTTCTTCTAGTTTTAAGAAAATAATTTATTAGTCTTTTTTATTTTAAAAATTAATTATTTATAAGTATTAATGATACTTAATATAATATAATATTATATTATTTATTTATTTTTGAAAATAATTCAATGTGACATAGTAAATTACAAATTAGTTATTCTAGTTTCGAGAAACTAATTTATCGATCTCTTTATTTAAAATTAATTATTTATGAGTATTAATCGTATTTAATTTAATATTATATTATATTATTTTTTTAAATGATTCAATGCGACATATAAATTATAAATTAGTTTTTATAGCTTTCAGAAACTAATTTATTAGTCTCTTTCATTTTAAAACGTATTTATTTATAAATATTGATAATACTTAATTTAATATTATTTTTTATTTTTTTGAAATAATTTACTACAACATAGTAAATTTTAATTCTTCTAGTTTGGAGAAATTAATTTATTAATGTCTTTTATTTTAAAAATGAATTATTTATAAGTATTGATTATACTTAATTTAATATTATTTTATTTTTTAAAATTATCTATTTTCTCATCTATCTCTTCATATTATTTTTTTTCTATTTTTAAAATACAAAAACATAAAATGAAAGAAAAAACTAAATAATTTGTTTTTAAAACAAAAATGACTAATTAATTTATTTTTAAAAAATACAGGTATGATTTAATTATTGTTTGGAAATAAAATTAACACTAATTAACCCAATAGTAATTATTAAATTGGTCAGCTCACTCAGAATAGTGAATTGATTGTTTATTAAAAGTAATTAATTCAAAAACTGTTCAGCCTTTTTAATGTATTCAATATTTATATATATATATAAAAAAACTGTGATTAATTTAATCTGCAATTGACACAATTAACTTATCCATTTATTAGTTTTAAATATAACTGGCTAATAAAATAAGGAATCATGATTTTCAAAAAGTAATTTATAAATTGAATCACATTGCTTTAATACACAACTCAAAATTAAGTGCACAAATGTTAATGATTAACTTGAATATGTTAGTTTAGAAAGTCAGCGTTTGCTTTTCATATCATGCATCGACATCGCTGATAAAAAAATGAAATAAAATAAGCATCTTACCTTCCTCTTGCTTCGTGGCGTCAGCACAGCCATTCCTTTTGGGGAACATAGGGCGGAATGATTTCAGCAATAATTCATCAAGGACACATTGAATGGACTCTGCCGCTCTCCACTTTAACTAATTCAAGGCTTTTTTTATTGGGAATCTGATTCAAAGAGAATCAGCCTGTTCCCCAAACCATTTCCAAGCCCAATCACACCTCTAAAGCTTACCGTTGACGCATTTGAATTACGATGTTGGCCATGCTGGTTTTCTTCTTTCCCCACGAGCGCGAGCGGTTTTTAATATATGCCTAACAAATCTAAGAAATCAAGGCTCATGTGAAGGGATGCGAAGGCATAAAAAAGGTGTTTTTGACTCATATTTAATTGAGATAATTATAAGAAAGACCTTTTAGAAAAGAAATTTACGTAAAAAAATCTATCACTTTATTCAAATTCAAAATAATATTTTTCTTATAAAAACACTCAATAATTTTGATAAGAAAAATATTATTTTAGATCTTCAAAAAATAAATAGATAGGTTTTTAGATAGGAGATTTTTTATAGATTTTCTTGTACTTATCCATAACTTAAATGAAACCATTATATTTCAATATATGTATTTTTATTGTGGATGTTCATGGTTCCAATTAATGAATGCACCAAGATATATTATACATTCGTTGCATAATTTAATTTAATTACTTGATAAAAATGTTAATTTTTGATTAATTAAAAAAACAGTAGTACTCGGTCGTGTTTTTTTTTCTATCAATATATTAGGATTTAAGAGACCATTAAATACATATTTTTAGTTTTTTTATTTGTATAATACTTTTTTAATTAAATTATAAGTGGATAACAAGAGTTTCATTTAATCAATATTAATTAGTTAAATCATATCATAACGATAGAATAAAAAAAACTTCTATAAAAGGAATTTTTTAGTATAGTAAAAAAATAATAGCCGAAGATTAGTGAGTCAACGGTTAAAGAACCTAAGCAAACTTTCTTTTATCCCTTTTGATTGCAATGAGAAAGAACCTAAACTTGATCATGATTAAAAAAAAAAAAAAATCAGTATTAGACTCATCAATACTATAAAATGAGATAATTATTATTAAATAATTACTAGAAAACCCTCTTAAAATTTATTCTATCTAAAAAATTTATCAATTTATTTTTAAATCTCTCAAACATCAATGTATATAAATTTTTTTTACCAAAATATCTAATAATTAATTAGTGTTAAGTTAGAAGTTAACTATTGAGTGTTTTAGTAAGAAGATTATTATTTTGGATTTGAGAGTCTTAAAAATAAATTAATGATTTTTAAAAAAATTTGAATAACTCCAGAGCCTTTACTGACCGAGGACAGTTGTTGCCCGAAAGGTAGCCTTGGCAAAAAAATTGGAAATGACTGTGATTTTCCTTTTCTAAAATAAAGGAGAGGAGGATAATTTAACTGTTGTGGCCCGAGAGAGGGGTGCTGCTTTAGAGAAGAAAAACTCTTTGGAGCGATTTGAAGATCATCTTAAAGAGTTATGCAATAAATTTAGAGGAACTCTTGTGTTTGTTCAACGGGTGTTGAGAGACTACTAAAGATTGTGGAGGACATCTATTTCTTCAACAAGACTGGGAACATAAACATGTGTTGAAGTTGTTGGAGTTGTGTGTGTGTGTGTGTTTTTTTTTTCAAAAAAGCGTCTATGATAGTAGAAAAATACACCGTATAAGGCGTACTTTTAAAGTATTGGGTCAAGTAGCTATGAGACCATAAAAAAGGAAGGCCTAATTTTTAATGAGCTTTATGTGAAGTTTATATTTCATACCTCATCACAACTGATCAAGAATTAATCATTCATTACCGTTACCATAAGGTTGATGGCAATCCTTTGCCCGCAAAAGGTGTGATATTTGAGTGCAGTCCTCTATCACCCAAAAAAAAAAAAAAAAAAAAACCTCGACATGTTGAAAAATATTCAATGAAACAAGGGAAAGAACCCTCTACCTTTTCCCTACCCCGAAAAGGAGGGATGAGAAAGAGGATTTAAAAAAGAACTGTAGGGTCTGGTACTTGGAAGTCTCAAAACAGACATCCGTATTTATCTTGAATAGAATGGGATAGAAAGACGTATTGGCTCAAAGCATGATGCAGACAAATGGGTGATGCATTAGTATAGACTTGATGGTTCATTAAGCCCAAAATCCAAAGTAAGTTAATTTTTCCTTTTAATCTTTGTTTACTCTTGTTTGTTGCTAATCCTTGGAGCTGTAGCCTGGTTACTCCGCATGACAGACCGGCGAGGGACTTGGCTTGGTGTCCGAAAATTGACCCGAGTACTACTCAACTGTTGGGAAAAAAAAAAAATTGGTCCTGTATAATAATTTATTTGTTAGGAATGCTGTATATATATATATGATTTATAAACTTTCCAAAAATACTCGACACTGGCCAGATTAAAAATATGGCAGCACCTAAATAATACACCTTGATAGATAGCTAGAGTTTAAACCCTTGATTGACCTGACGATCGAATTTTTTTTTTTAACAACTTAAAAGTCTTAAATGTATAAGGTTGGATGTTGATATGTGTCGTTCGTTTTTAAGTTTCCATGATATGATATTTGTATATATTGTGTGTTAAATAAATTCTCTTCTTGTCATCCAGAAGTTCAAGGAGTATGTTCTTTGCCGAATTAATAAGAAAAACGGAGGAGGAGGAAAATAAACAGGCTATCCAAGGAACAAATGACATTGCAGCTGATACAGTTGAAGGCATTCCCAACCAGAACCTAATAATTGTCTTTTGCGGCCGGTGGAAAACCACATGGAGCACTCCTCAACAAGCAACGTTTCAGCAGATGGAATCTGTCAGAAAGAATTATAATCCTATCGTTGGAGATTATTCGAGGATGACATATACATTTAAGGCAGGTACATCCCCTACAGCACCTAGTGCCTCAAATTCGGTGAAAGCTGATCTTGGATTCATGGGCAAGGTCTTGTTTTACGGCCAGTTTTTGCGTCATCGTCAGGCCTATAGATGTTCAGTGAACCTTGGAATAATGAGCCGATGATGACCACTAGTCATTGTCCAGCTCTGCTCCAGCTCAGCAGGACACTTTTAATGGTCTCAAACTAGGTACTGCTGGTTTGCAGTAGTCTTTTTTAGGATATCCAACATGTTAGTCCAAGTAGTCTATTTCTACAGGCGAGTCGGGTTACTTTTTTCTCACTTTTTTCCTTTTTATTTATTTTTAGTTGAAAGTAATAGCTGTTTGATAATTGATCGTTATATTTGATTGTTATGTTTTCAGAAATGGGCGAATAAGCCATATTTTTCGACAAGAGATTGATTTTCATAATTATGTAACCCACCCCATAGTGTTTATCCGTTGTTGTATTTGGATGCAATTAGGATGGTTTCATCCCGTGTTTATCCATTGTTGCATTTAAATGCAATTAGGGTGGTTTCATCCTGAATGAGACAGCATGAAATTTCTATTTCAGATAACAGCCCTTACATAAAAATGAATATGTATATATGCGCGCGTGTGTGTGTGTGTTATTTTATAATATATATATATTAAAAAAGGGGGAGCTGTGCATTCTCTTTGTTGTCCTCTTTATCCTTCGAATGCAAAGAACGAAACAAATGCTGAGGGTTAGTAGAACTTATCCGGTCCGTGAGTAACTTTCCTTTCTAGCATGCTCGTTCAGAAAACTGGATGCTGCGTCTAGTTCTGTATTGACTTTGCGTACCCTATTTTTAGCTTTGAGTTGCACACAAATGCTAGAAAATGGTCAATTAATTCTAACGTTCGAATAGGTACTGCAGACCTTCGACTATTTAATACACGCTTAGTGCTTACCAAATATATTGCCAAAGCCACATCGCTGCCATCAGAAAAACTACTTAACCTCACAAGCAGCGTATGCAATTGAGTATCTAATGGCAGAATCAGGTAATAAAAATTTTGTAATTTTGTCCTTTTTTCGGTCCCCCTCCTTTTTATAAACATAAAAATCTCTGAACTGAACAACCGAGCAGGGGTCAGAGAGAAGGAAGAAAAGAGTACAATTTGTACCTATCATTTCGTGGCCAGTCAATCAATCACTTAGTGTGATACAATATATCGTTCAGTACAGTGTGTCTGATACTAAAATAATAAAGAAATGAACACTCAAAAAGAATTAAAAGGAAAAAAAGAAAAAGAACGTGATAAAAGAATTGCTACAAATGCCTTGACAAAAAAATTGGAATGCTTCGCAGCCCACTTCTTAAGCAAGCCTTCTTCTGATCTACAGCCCACGCTTCCCCTACATTTGTTCGAGTCATTGAACTCGACCCCAGGCATTATCACATAGCGATGCTGTCAAAAATATTCTTGATCTAGCAATAAGAAGAGCATCGCCATCAATTTTAAGGCCACAACCTCTGCTAAATCCCCCGGAAAAATAAAATAAAATAAAATAAAATTTCTCAAGCATGCAAACTAAACTACAATGTATAGTAAAGCCTGGGTTTTTCTCCCAGTTAACTCCGCAATAGTTAACTATTAAACTCAAGCATTAACACATACAAACACAAATCACCATATTAGACAAAATATTACCGCCTCAACTTTTTATTTGGTCAATTTTCCAGAGAGATGAGAGGACTTACCCGAGCAAGAACATGTACACTTCCATGGTGATGAGACTTCTGTTGCTAGATCACTCATTTTTTCACAAATGGTTTTTGGCAAACAAGTAGCCGCTGGTCGCTGCCATTATCTAGATCAATCACCCTTGCTTCCCAGTGTATCTGCATAGAAAGTGCTCGTGCCATCTCAATAGCTCCCGATTTATCAGAAAAGATAACCCATCCCTGAAAAATGAGCTAGTTGCATTAGAAAAGTACCAAAACAACACACAAAGAAAGAAAGGAGAATCATTTAATGCTTCATTGTAGGTCGCAGAAAATGAGGAAAAGGAGCCAAGCACCACAGGAAACAAGGAATGGCATTCATGCATTCTAAAAGGTCAAGGGATTTCTCTTCTTCCATTTCTATTTTCTTTATTTTTTAAACCCTAACCGGCAAGGGTGAGAGGAGTTCAGAACATCAGATCAAAGGCAGAATGGGAAGGAAATATCTCAAGAGATGTTGTTGCAAGTTATGAAGTTTGGCAGATATAATCGTTCCTCATTAGGTTATCAAGTATTATCGTTCCTCATTCCTAATCATACCTACACATGGGGCCTAATTGCACCCAACATTAGGTTTCTAGTTTGATGTTGCATTCAGACAATTTGCAGCATTAAAAAGAGCACAAGTATCAAAGAATGTGTTGTACACTTTCAGAGTCCAAGTCATGAAGAGGAACATGGGGCAATGCCCATGCTCCACAAAAAATAGAAATTTAACAAGGCAATGTCCAATAGAAAGTGAACAATCTTATAGGTCATTGCTCAAAATTTTCAGATGGGGTTTAAGAAATATCAGGAGTACAGTGAAAAGTACCTCAGGCCGTAGAATTCGATCCATCTCTAAAAATAAATCCATCATACTGCATCTCTCTGAACTAAGATGCGAGAGAAGCCCACTAGCATGAAGCATGTCATATGTTCGAGGGTATGTGGGGAATGGGTCACACCTGCACAAAAGAAGACAAATTATTCACTCTGTTCTTAAACTGAGATAAAATAGCATTATTCCTCAACATGTTATCATGGAAAAATTGATAAAATAGGACCAGGAAAATTAAGGTCAGGCTATTGAGAACAGAAGCATCATGGACAAGGTCCTTGAATTTGCAGTGGAATTCAAAGCAGAAAAAAATGAATTGTCAGCAATATTCAGATCTTTAAGCTCAGATTGAAAATGTAAAGTTCATTAGCAAAGTTGATGTCCATGCCTTTCAAGAAGAAACTGCTTGAAATTGTATAGCACCATCAGGGTCATGATAAATGCATCTGCAGCATGGGTAAAAGAATTTCACAGTTCTTCTTGCAGGCTATCTTGATTTTCAGAAGTTTTTATAAGGATGTTGCTCAATACAAGTTCATGGACAAAAATTATACAGTATTTACAAAAACTAAAGCATTTAAGAAAAAATATTTGATTCACCTGAGTTCCTCCTCAAAAGAGTTCATAAAAGAAGACAAGTTGTGCAAACTATTTAATAATCAAGGCATTTTTCAAAATATCGGGAAGAAGTCAGACGATTAAGTTTTAAATGATTTAAAGTGTAACAAACTTAGAAACTAGATTATTAAACAGCATGTGTCTTAATGAAACTAACATACCAGTCATGTACAACACCAGCAAAACCACGATCAAGTATGAGAGGAAGTGTATTAGGAGCCCTGACAGGCACAACATTCATCACCCAAACTAATTTCTTTTCCTCCAGCATTGCAGCATTTAAACCTCCATATTGAGCATTCATGTCCATAACGTTGCGTACCATGTTAAATGGAGGTGTTGGATCTTCATCACCTGGCCTCTTAGGATGGTCGGAGAAAATTATAGGTGAAAGCAAAGACCAGTAATTTCTGAGAGCTGATCTCCAAACCTGAGAGTCTTCAAAGAAATCTTCTGGCTGAACTCCTGCAAGGATAATAATGGATCAATAAACTAGGACAGTTATATCAAGTAATAAATTTGAAAAAAGAAAAGTTGTACAGTGACAAAGTAAGAGTATAACAAAAGAAAAGGGCAAAAAAGTAAAATGTATTGAAACAATACTTTCCATGAACTTCAAGCTCTGCTAAGCTCAAATGGGGACCACAGGACCTGTTCTGGATGGGAATCCAGCGATTGCTAGTGGTCCCACTTATACATGACACAAGGGGTTGATAATATGGAGTGTTGTGGCCATCATTGCAAAGTGCTGGAGCACCATGCTTGCTGCATGAAAAACCAAAAAGAAAAAAGAATTATTATTGTTTTCCAGAAAAAAAATGCAAGTCAGAGAAGAAAGGGAAAAACACAGAAGCTCAATAATTCAAGTAGGTCATGGAAATGAAAAGGCAGGGGCACGTCTCAAAAGCTGTATAATAAAAGTTCAGAAGTCATCGAACCACTAAATGTGTGCAAGGGAATAAAAACTAATTTGGGGGAGAGTGGTGCATTATTGTTCATATCCTCACCGAGATTTGTAGCAGTAAACATCCACAGTTTTCTGCCAGATGAAAGTCTCATCCTGCTGAGCTATAAGACTCCAACAGATTTTTTCAGTAAATTCTTCTATTGGTGTCAGTGTGCTTCTCTTCTTTGTACTCAATGAACTTCCATGTGGATTGCTTGCTGGTGAAGTTAAAACAAAGTAACCTCCAGGCTTGAGAACTCGATCCACTTCAATAAGGAACATGCCATCTGTTTTATCAAGGTCACAGTTAGAAAGCAAAGAGAACAAATTTGAAACCAATAGTCCCTTCAAGATCTCCGAATACTATGTCAGAATAAGAATACTCAGAAGTCCAAGTATGCAATCAAAAGTGACATTAAAATGAAACCTTCCCAGTACCCTGCACCTTTTCTCTTTAGGGCACTAAATTCAGCAATACAGTCGACCAGAACAAGATTATTTTATTGTACCTTTCTCTTCATCATTCATGTACCTCCCAGCAATAATAAATCAACATATTATGTTGACATGGCACAACCTATAGTTATCAGCTTCTTTATCAGAACGCATTATGCATAAATTTTCAAATATTCTCTCGTGATGGGGACATATTGTCTAAATCTAATTTTCCCTGGGAGGATTAAAGAGGAAGGGAAGATGGCAGCTGATTGACATTGCCAACTTTAGATAAGTTATCCAAAATCAATAGACGTAAATGAGTGTGTTAGGAGAACAAACATTTCTAATAGGAAAAATAAAGAGCAAAAAGTAGCAGCAGCAAAGATATCTGTTAATAAATCAGGAGGAGGCAAGATGGTAGCTATAAAGCTATTGCAGCAGCACCCAAAATAAAGCCATCAAGTAATTAGGAGAAAGTATTCCGTATCTAGCAACTAATTAAATACCTTTTTCATCCCAAACAATACCACATTGAGCACAATGAACCATGTCAAATGACAATGATGGATATGGAAGTTGTCGTGAAATAAAATTGCCAATCATTGCTGGAAGACCTCTTTCAAGGGCAATTTGAACTTGGCTTCCAGTTGCCTCATATGCCGCAATACAAAGGGACATTAGTTTCAGAGATACTAAATGGGCTCCAAAACTACCAAATCCACAACCAATATCTAGCACAGTTTGTACCTGTAATGAAAAAAATATGTTAAAAGAACTATAAACCAACAGCAGATGAGAAAAGGGAAAACCGAAAGGCATCTATCCCATTGTGGTCATGAACGAAGATGCAAGATTATATCAGACAATAAAGTAATCTGCTCTACAAATGCTTGTGCTCTTGACAACCAAATTTGCCCCCAAAAATGTAACAATAATGCTAAAAACACTTACACCGGCTTGAAGAAATTCAGTGTCACTTCCTAGTCCTATCATCTCTGCAACCTGGCGAGAATAATCTTTCACTCCATCAAAGATCAATCCATCCTCAGAGTGAAAGGCAAATTGATTCTCTTCCAGTAACATCAACCTGTAGTTTTTTTCCAAAAGAAAGTAGATATATCAAAAGAAAAATAAAATAAAAGAAATGGAAATATTGATGAACAAAAATACAATCACAATTTGAAATGAACATCCTAATATGGATCAAAATCCCAATTAGGATCAATCAAGAAGAAATACCTTTTGGTCATGCTTCCAGAAGATAGAAACTGGTCTTTGGTTATCTTAAGATTTGCACTCCAGATGACATCCCTACCAGCAGGCCACCTTAAGGGGATCTTATAGTCCTTTGGAGGGCGAACCAAACAACGTTCCCTGAGTCCTGACATTTCACAGTGCCGATCAAACTCCTCCCCATCTTTAAACCCAGTGAAAAAATTTGCTGAAACATTGTAACAAGGCACGTAATTTTCTTTTTCTCTGCCACAAAGTCCCAACTCTCTTTGCCGACCAGCTCCTATCGAGAGTGTTCTAAGCTCTAAATAGTCAACAGCAGCTTGCTCCTTTAACCTTCTATAATTGGAGTAAATATCAGGCACTGGAGTAGGAGTCACAGAATCAAATGCACTCGAAGAAGTAGAACCCAGGATAGCGATTAGTCCAAGCACACAAACAAAGCACAACAGCAACCAACTAATTGGCAGTCTGGGGCCAAAAATAGCAAATGGTTTACTGAACCAAGGGCTTCTCATGTCCAAATTATTAAACAACTGAACTTCAAAATCCACTAATTATCCAACTTAAACCTAAATCTCTCCAAGAACTGCAGAAACCAAAACCTACCATAGCATAAAAGCTTCTGTATAGGTTACCCTGAATCCGCACAACTCCTACAAGCATTGAACACACTTCCCTACCAACAAACACAGATCTTCCACAGTGAAATCAACACCAAATCAAACTCACATCATCAAAAGACAGAAAAACTAATGTGGTGGTTTCGTAATTGCGAACACCCAGATTTCAATTCCCAGTAAAGAATAACAAATCCACAATTGAACTATTTGAAAGGAATGTAAACTCTCGATAACCTTGAATTTCAAAGACAAACAATGTCTTTTTTTCACTTGCTCAAATAAGAAACCAGTCTCTAGAAACTAATCAATCAAGATCAACCTGCTATAAGAGTCAAAACGGCAACAACAAAACAAAACATCAGTATCACACATTTTCGAATCTCTAACGGACTGTTTTCGCTTTTTATCGAACATAAATATGAGAATCTTATAAAGAACTGGATTTGGGGAAACAAAAAAACCCAAAAATTTCATAGGTTTCTAAATTCTCATTCAAAAAACTTTCTAGTTTCTAATACAATCTCTGTCTGAAAAGAAATTAATTTCCATCACAGTCAGATCTCAAAAAGCGAAAAAATATAAGAAGCAGAATAAGAAGACGAATGACACGCAGATCAGATCCAAAAACAGAGAAAAAAAATAACCGACTAACTAACGAACCATTTACAAAAAAGAAAAGAAAACGCGCATTTGATTCATAAATGAAAACGAAATCAAAAAAATGAAAAGCCATTAGGGTTTTCAAGGACGAAATAAATTACCGTTTCTGTTTCGTCGGAAAGAGTCGTGATTCTCGAATGCGAAAATGACACACCGCAAGAGAGAAAGGTGGAGAGGTTGTTTTTTTTCCCCCGAGATAGAGTCCAGTTTTACGGGTTGTTGCTGGTATTGGATGTGTGTCTATCACTCTGTTGTTATGATAAAAAAATAAATAATTATATAATCAGATCCAAAGGCTACCGTGTTTTATCTTATTTTTTTCCGCTAAATAGTACCTACAATCCATCCTTCAGTTATCAGATGCTTGGAGGTTAGCATTAATAGTTGGTAATTAGCGAAATAAAATAAGAGGATTATTTTAAAGTTTTTTTTGTAATAAGGATTTTTCAAACTTAAAATATTTTAAAAAATTTTGAATCCATAACTTTTTATAAATGTAAAAAACTCATTATCACTAAACTAAAAATTTATTGAATAGAGACTCCAATATCTAATAGAAATGATATATTCATAAAACATTTCTTTAAAAAATAAATAATGATAATAATAATAAAGTGCAATAATATTTTTATTTTTAGCACCTTTATGTATTATTTTTGGAATTAAAGAATTTTAGTTACTTTGCCGACATGGTTTCAATCTAAAACTAGGCTGAAAATTTGGTAGTTAATCACTCCATTGATTGTGGTGTGTTTGGTATTATCTAAATCCGACGGATGCTGACAGCTCAATATGAATTTGAAGTTGAAGTGCAAATCTGCTGTTGCTTTCTTTTGAACCAATCAAACTATCTCCATCGTATTTTTTTTTATTTAATTGAAAGATTGCAAATCAATTTATGCTTTCTTTTGGACCTATACAAACTGTATCACATCAAATGTATTTTTGCTAATTAATTGTTTTTTGTTTTTTTTTTTGACAGCAAAACATGGCCCATTCCATGACTCTGCCAAAGTTTGACAAAATCATTCAACCTATAAACTATTCTAATTATAATAATAAGGTTGGTTTGGTTTGGTTCTGGTAGCCTAGCATGAGTGAGGAAAAAAAACATGGTTGTTCCCACTCCAAAATGTCAAACAGTAACTAAAGAAATATGGAAAATTTGCCTGAAATTGATGAGAGTCGAGGGATTTAGTTCTTTTTTGGGTTTATCATGTCCTTTCGGCAGAGGAATCTGCGATGGAATTTTTTTTGTCGCATGAAAATGGAAATGTGAATAGACGTGCAGCATTTTAAGGTCATGCATGCATGTCCTTCTATAAAAAAAAAAAAAAAAAGATAAAGATAGAAAAGAAGCCTCTGCTTTAACGAATAACGAATATTGTGAATTTCACTCTTCCAATCGCATGTTATTTTTTTAAATTCTAAAACCATTGATTTTTATTTTCCTTTCAACACAAAATCGAACAACATTTTCCAATTTCCATTTACTACGTTTTTCTGAAAAGAATTTTAATTGTACTCTTTAATCACCTGATGTTTTTTTGGATTGTCGTCTTTAATATGGAAATATAACAAGCTGTATTAAATTTTTTAGATTTTTTTTATCATACATGTAAATCTACATGGTACATTTTTTTAACAAAATTATTTTTTTATTCAATGATAAAGTGTCTTCATGTAAATTTATAAAAATAAAATATGTCTAAATAGATTATATTAGTTTGAAATATGGAGAAAAACTAAAGCTATTACAATTAGGTATTTTAAATTATTTTTTCTCTCTAAATTTCATTGATTCATAGGCTCTTTGAAAAGAAAAAAAAATGCTTTATGAAATAAGTCACTTACTTTGCATCACATCCTACATTTCATAACTCTCTCTCTCTCTCTCTCTCTCTCTCTTGGACCACATAAATAAAAACGTAAACAAATGAATTCGTTAACAGTATACACATTAATTGTATAAAATATGCTAGAGAAAAAAAACAATATAAAGCATTTATTTATAATTTGTAGAAGAAAATTTTTATTATTTATTAACTTTAGTTACAAAGCAAAAATTGGATCCTTAAATTATTTTATAAAATTTATTGTAATTACATAAATGAAAAAAAGAAAAGAAAAAAAACACCTGGTCAGATACCACATGCCAGGGACCCATGGGAAAACGCCAAATCAAAACGTATTCAACGGTAAATGCCAAGGGAAAGTTAACGTTGCGTTTATTTTATACCAATCAGAATTGAAGTTCATTCGTTGTTAAATATAACCGTCCCCGCTGTACGGGTAATATAACGTTGCGTTTATTTTGTACCAATCAGAATTGAAGCTTATTCGTTGTTAAATATAAACGTCCCCGCTGTACGGATAATGTTGCGTTTATTTTATAGCAATCAGAATTGAAGTTTATTCGCTGTTAGATATAACCGTCCCCGCTGTACGAATAAGTGGATGGTTTACATTTATTTATTTTGAACCAAATGAACTCTTTTTTATATTTATTTATCGGGATATCTATGAGATTTAGGTTATGTAATAAAAATAATTTTTAAATGAAACAAAATAAGACATTTACTTCGTGATTTGTTTTCCCTTTTTTTTTCTTTTTAATAAGATATTTTATGATATGTTACTACAATTTTAGGACGCCAGAAAGGGGTATTTCATTGAAAAAAAGCTACTTAAAAATACGAGATTAATGTGGTGATTGGAGATTCAGTTCTAATCTTTCTTCTTTTTTTTTTTATGTCTTTTTTGCAAGATAAGGCTATTAAAGATTATTTTTTTGTAAATGAATGAGAGAACGTGAATGGAGAGAAATTTTAAAAGTAATTATAAATAATTATTTTATAGATTCACTTTAAGAAAGAAATAGGCATAAAAAAATTAGGATAGAACTTATAAAAAATGATAAAAATATTTTTATTTGGGTTCAATTATTTATTTATTTTATTAAGTGAGTAGTTACTTCATTACTACTGTAAAATTAAATGGCATGCTGAGTCAAAATAAGTTGTTACAATTACCTCATATAAAGTTCACAATTTCGAATAAAGGCTCATTTATCGTTCAAGTTTCACTTCAAGCCACCAACGGACCAAGAGCGTAACTAACAATCCCATCAACCAGTCATCTCAAGGCCCCACCTAAATAAAGCTGGAGGCTATACGAAGCCTATGCTGCTTGCTTGCTCGCTCGCTCGCTTGTTCATCGTCAGCCTCTTCTAACAAATTAATCGTAGTTGGTTAGATTAATTGATCCCCAAGCGATTGGTTGGAGATCATAAAAATTCAAAGAGGGTTGAGTGCTCTCTCAGCAAAAAACGAACGGCAATGACTAATTCTTGAAATTCAATTTAATACCAAAAAGAAAGAAAATATATAGCACCAAACATCTCATTCACAACCAACCATCATGATGGGTTCTCGATTTTTCACAGGAAGTCGGTTACTTGTCTGAGACAGCAATACAACTATTGCAATTTACGATGAGATTCAACTGGTACCATCTGGTTGAGAGACTTTCCTGATCCAAAAATACTACAGTTCAAAAAGTCTAGCGAGAAAGGAGCGAAAGGAAAATAGGGGATGATCCAATGCTACATTGCTGCCCCCATTAACAAAATATTGCTCAGATTTCAATAATGATACAAATATAGGAAAAAAGGCCAACGTTCAGCGACAAATCCCGTACAGTGGAACTATGTGGCCATATTTGTTGGCACAGAAACTTGAAATATCCAACACTAGCGAAAACGTATTTCCTAAGGCTTTACTTGAACCAAAAAGCCACTGGCAGTAGCATACGATATGGTATAACATTAATCTGATATTCCTTCTTCAAGCAGTTCCCAATTCCCTGTTCAAGTAATCCACAAACATCCTTTTTGCACTCTCTGCATCTGAAGGCGGGGGCCGTCCACTTAAGCTAGTCTGACCTGTCAACTTAATGAAAGTCCGACGCAGTCGCCTTAGCTCTGGTAGCCCAACTGATCTTGACATATTAAGAGTTGGTAACCCCTGGCCGGGAGAAATTCCATTTAGAGGTCCTCCGATTGACTGGGATTGTGCTTCTACAATAACATTGACAACCTCTTGTGTTGCCCTGTCGAGCTCATATAGAGAATTTGCCTCGGAAAATCGTGCACTTTGAGTAGCAATAGTTGGCTGTAAAATTTTAACATCCCGAGTTTTTGAGTCTACTTTTTTTGTTAAGTATGAAACAGCATCCAAGATGGCAGCAGAAGATTTCTGAATACCATCTTTATATGGACATAACTCAAACAGAGGAGAATCCCAGCGATTTCTTCTATCTGGCCTCTCAAACCTTCTTTCCAAGTCCTCAAAGATAGTATCATCATACGTGGCTTCACAATTCTCCCTACGGTTTTCATTCCATTTTTTACATTGAGTTTCTTCGACGTCGCAGAACAGCACACAGTATCTTATTCCTGCAGCACGAGCCAAACACCATAGCTCATACCTGTAACCCTTGATGCTGTTCAAAGAATCCACTATGATTATATTATCCCTCGATACAGATCTATCAACTTCAGACCGGAGCACTCCTCTCAAATTCTTCTCTGCAGTCATGTTGGCATAACTTTGATTACGATCAAGATGAAAAGAAGCTTCATCAATGATTCTAATGGTTGAGTTAGATTCTGATTCTTTAAGAGCTTCAGCTAGGCAAAGTGCAGCTGTGGACTTCCCACTGCATGGCTGGCCGCAGATTACAACCAAAGCCATTTGGAGGAAATTTTGAACTCCTTAAAGAACTGTTCACTGTCTAAAATACAAGGAAATTGCGTCAACAATGATACTTCACCTTTACTTGTCTATCTAAATTTCTTGATTGTCTACCCTATCTCCTTTAAAGTGCATTTACAAAAGCATGCAATATACACAATCACCCACAAACAACAAATTAAATTATAATAGCACATGTCAAACATTAAAACATTTACTGCAGATGCAGTAGAAACTTTTAGTACAGGGAACATTGAAGCCAAAAAATACAAGAACAATAGCATTGATGATGATTACAACATAATAGACACATAAAAAGGAGTCATGTTTTGATTATTTTCACCGTAGAGATAAAGAACAAAAGAAAACAGAAATCTTTCAAGATGATTCAATGTTGCACAATTTTGCCCTACCATAACCAATTGCCAAACTCTCTTTCCTCTCCGTACTACTATATATTTCTCATTTTTGACTTGTTTATTGATTATGTTTGTCGCCTGCCTTTTTGCAAATTGATACAAGCACATTTTCAAATCAACTCAGAGGGAGAAAAACAATATACCTATCCAAATTAATAACCCAGTTCATATCACATCCGTCCTAGAATTTTGAAGAGAGCATTATCAATTATATATCATGTAAGGAGTTCACTGTTCCACTACTGTGGAAGTAATCACGTAGGATCCTTAGGAAATGAATTGTATGAATTGATGCAAAAAGAAAGGAGATTTTTTTACCTAAAGATATCAGTCCAACTATTTCTAAGCAAACATTAATACCAGAATTTATTGCATAAACTAATACCCACATGGGCAAAAGCGAAGAACACCAGGCTACCAAGAAATCCATCGAAAACATAAGACATAAAGACAAAGGAAAAGAAGAAACCCTTCAATTAACCTAGCCATTATCAGTAACTATGAGAAAAATTCACGACAATAAATGAAAAATTAGACATGTAGCAACACATAAGCAAACACAACGACAACTCAACTCCAAAATAACAATCACTCTGATTATACAAAAACTAAAAACTTTTTTAAAAAAGTTCAATACGTTCTTCTATTATTGCATATAATTAATTAATTTACGAGAATCAAATTGAGAGGTGTGAGGAATTACAAAGTAAGCAAATAGATTATCAAGAATTAAAAAGACCAAATACCGATCTCTGAAGTTAAGTAAAATCTATTTTAACATAATTACTGAAAGTTACCTTGATGTGAAACAGTAGCAAGTGATAGCGCGAGCTTAGCAGGAGAAGAATGAAAAAGAAGCAAGGCTACGATGCAGTGCAGAGAGACAAAAACGCACGAGTAATTTAGCCTTATGGGTCAGGGACAGAGCCTTGCAACTGGCACAGGGTTTATGGTCTTTCCAAGCGATGTGAGTGTCTACACCAGACCAGGCCTAACCCTCCAACAAAACCCGGCCCATAGTCACTTTTTTTTTTTTTTTCCCTATATATCTCCAACTGTTAAAATGTTTGGAGAAAAATAATAAAATTTAATTTTTTTAATAAATATCATTTTAAAATTTAAATCTTGCATATTAATAAAAATTTTATTTGAAAATCAATTCACTTACCGTGAACCAACAACTTGTTAGTATCCCATAACAACTTTTCAATTATAGTTGGATTTAATTAGAATAGAAAAGAAATATCATTATGGTAAAACTAAGAGAGGGTTATTTGTCCTCTCTATCATTTTCTATAACATATAACAAAGTACTAAAAATGATTAATAATTATTTATCTCAACAATGGTTATTTTATTTTACTTTTTATTAAGAATAAAATAATTCCAGCTTTACTTTATTTTTAATGGTTTAATTTACATAACATATCCAAGCCTATTTAAGATCATTTGATGTTTCTACACTGGTCTCAATTTTTAACGGACTTATGATACAGTAAAATAATGATGATGAGATTGAAGGAGTAATACAGATAATTATTGAGAATAAAATTTTATCATTATCAATCACAAAAATATTCATCACGAATTCTCACAATTTCGCTATCACTATAGCTCTTTTTAATTCCTTACCATTTTGTGATAAATTAAAATAAAATGATAAGGATGAATTTGATAATATCATTATCCTTGAATAGTATGTAATTATATTGGTATTAGTATCAGATAAGTCAGCTAAAACTGATAATTAAGAAAGTGAATAAGTTTTAATGAGTTTAAAGGGTGTAAAAAATGAATCACGTAGTAAAACTAAGGCAGCAATATTTATCTCAACGGCCAGCCCTCCGTTGCAGGTGGAGATGGGGAAGCAGCTGCCAGATGTGCCAGTGCTTCGCACCTGCATGCTTGATTATTCCATTTCCGATTGGTGAGTTTATTGAGAATAGGGAAGTCATGCTGTCTTGCATTCCAAGCTAACACCTCAAAGAAAAATAACGACACGTTTTCTTTTGCTGAGAGCCTCTGGTGCACGGTGGATCTAATCGAGAATCTAAAGCCTTGTAGAGAATGATTTCCTAATAAATCTCCCAACTAGAAATCTAAAGGCATGCTGGCCTTTTATGTGAGGAGTTCACTTTATCCAGAATCATGCACGTGTTGAGATCGAATCATAAAGGTTTCAGCAATATGAATCAGATGAACTAGGAAGAACGGCAAAAGGAGATTTAGATCTTGATCAGCTATTGGCAGAGAGCACCATGCTAAAACAAATACATGCAAATATGCAGCGCAAACCACTTGAGGTATGATGAATTCATACAAAGTATAGTACCAAATCAACTCTGAGAGGGAAAAAAACGACGTAGCAATCAACCGCAATTGCCCACTTAAAAAAAAAATCACTATTTTTTGGTTCTTTCCAATATCTTAAATCTTAATCTTTCTGCATACTGTGGGAATATATTGCGATCAAATCAGGAAGGCTAAGACAGGGAAAAAAAATGGATATTTTAACCTTGAGCTATTTACGCTGTTTCCACAAAACTGTATATACTGCCCAGCAAGATACTTGCACAAACAATTCGTAAGAACAATATGACACCGGCATTGTAAAGATAAATGAAGACACAAACCAACAAACCCAAAAACAACAACAAACCGAAACCAACAATCCACAAATACCAATAAACCTGAAACAAACAATCACCAATTCAATAATAATCCAAAGCAACAATCAATTACAATCAATCCGAACCACCCCAACCCTAAAATATGGGTTGGCCGAAACTTACCAAAAACAAAACTCAACGAGGACTAATTAAACTAGTATAAATTAAATATAGACTTCTAAACAAATATGCATTCAAAACATGTGCGTACCAAAATGTATAACAAACATAAATAGAAACTTTTATGCAATCAAGACAAAATAAAACATAAAAATAAACAAATAAATAAATATTGATAAATTTCGGCCCAATTAGTTTTGAACCACTAAGCTTCAATGTCATACCCAACTCTCGGGCTCATGCATGTCCAACTAGTTTAGTTTTGAAGCACTCATCCTCGATGTCATACCCAACTCTCGGGCTCATGCATGTCCAACTAGTTTAGTTTTGAAGCACTCATCCTCGATGTCATACCCAACTCTCGGGCTCATTTTGGATTTTCGACCTCATGGTCTTGGGCAATCACTCCCGGGTTACAATATGCCTCACAAATTTAGTTGATCCAGAACGGAACTCATCAGCTAAAACAACAAGCACACCACCCTCGGTAAACATGGACTGCAAAGAAGGAGCATTAAAAGTAAGCAAAGCAAGGATAAAATTTGTGCAACTCCCGAACTATTATTAAAAGAACTTGGAAAACTTTTTAAACCTCTTCTTGCATGTAATTAATTAATTGGGAAATTATATACAAAATGGAAAAAAAATCAAACTGAGAGCTTTGTTCTACTATAACTTGAAAGACAAACTAACCAAATAAATTATTGAAAGAGTTGAAAAACATATGACGATCTCTGATCAGTATCAAGAGAATTATTAGTTACCTTGATTGGGAGCGGGAAGTGACAGCGTAACGCTTCGCGAGGGAGCGGGAGATAACGAGAGAGAATCAAGTAAGCTGAACCGGCACGAGAAAAGCAAATTACACAAGTGCGGGTTGGGCTAAAAATAGATTAACGATACTGCCTTATTTATGGTAAAGCTCCTACTAAATCCAGGCCTAACACTCCTACTAAATCCAGCCCAGTGTGAATACTGTATTATTAAATATCCATAAAATTCGAATATAAAGCTCCGGGATATATTTTTTTCTTTCCTTGGCCGTAATTAAGCTTATTCTCAGCCAACTTCAAGCATGAAAAATGAAATGTTCATAATTTTTCTTAAGATTTATACCTGAGATGATAACATCAAGAGCTAACTCTCTTATCAACTAGGCTAAACCTTCAAAAATTTAAATAAAGATATTTATTTAGAATTTTTTTTATTAACACTGAATCTATGTCTTACTTTTTTTATGGTGGAATATAAAGAGAAAAAAATGTTTAATCTTTATAAACAAGCATTATTTGATTCCACGATACATAAATTCACCTAATAAGCTACGCTCCTATCCAAATTCAATTTAAACGTTACTTTATTTAAACAAACCCAAGGTCTTCTGAAAAAAAAAAACAAAAGAAAAACAGGAGCAGGAGCAGATACTAATTCAGGGATACCCAGGGGTGGCACTGGTCCCCCAACGTTTGAGACATTTTCACGAGAAATCCGATAGGGAGTGAATGAGAGAATACCCCCATGGATTCAACCCTTGCGCCGTCTTGTATGTGTGTGTGCGAGAGCGTGCGCGCGTTTATATATATATATATGTGTATAGCAACAAGCTCAAAACTTTAGTTCATGGGCTTAAGGGCCTCTTTGGGCCCGTTTAGGACATCCATGGAATTGCAAAAACATATAAATGAATAACTTTCTGAAGTTGCTAAGTTAGGCACTTGATTCACTGCCATGCCACCTGCTCGTATATCCTTTCTACCACATGTCATGAGCCAATAATTCAACTGACGTAGCGGTTTATTTTTCTCAATTATTCTTTGATTGCACTTGATGCAAGTCCATACGAGCAAAAAAAAAAAAGAGCACTCCTCTCACTCTCACACCAATACTAGAATTGAAGAAGAAAACTTTCCTCGATAGCATCCACTGAGTATTTTATTTTAAAGAAAACCCCCATCCATTTGCTTACTATGCGAAGCAATTACAATTATAACTTAATAAATTAATTTTCCAAACCAAAGACAATATTAATAGTTCTTTTTATTAGAATTGGAGACAGTCCCCCCCAAAAAAAAAAAAATCATGTGCATGCAGTTTATTTCCAACAAAAAAAAGTTACATACAAAAATATAGTGGAAACAAGACAAGGATAAAAAGTTTTATAGTCCTACATGATGAAGTATGATACGGTAAATGTTGTCTATCTATTTTATTCGTGTCGGAGTAGTATGTGGATAAGTTAGTAGTATCATGGGATTGTTCTATGAATAAGTTAGCATACCAATCTACATTTCTACATACCACGCAACAGTTTCTGCTTTATTTGATTCCTTAGCTTCATTATACGTAAGACGAAACTGTGTAAGTTTCAAACGAAAACAACTGACAGCAACTTTAGTCCAGAGTATGGCAATGAATATAGACAAAATGGGAAGGATGATGAATTCCGAGCTAGGGAGAAAACAACAAATAAGATGGATGGGATTATTATTGTTCTAATGGTAGGTGACTACGCAACGAACTTGTACCAAAATTTATCTTCAATAACCAAAACAAAACAAAAAAAAGGAGCAGCAGCTAATCAACTTTGATTCCACAAAAATCAATCTTCAAAAGCAAGAGCACTAATAAGTGAAACAGCAAACCACTGAAAGTTAACAGTAAATAATGCTTGACCAAAGAAACGACACCGTTACTGTTCAGTTCTTTGATCCTCTTCTACGCCGCATTTTGCGTACAAGGCACGGTGAGGACTCAAGCCCGCAGAAGTTTTCGCCAGAGCGTGATTGACTCCTAATCATGGTTTGTTCCGGAGTGACATGCTACAAAGCTTGTTCGTGGATTTATTTTTACCATTATTTTTAAATGTTTCTAACTATTTATCCTTTAAAATGTCGGTTGGCAACAAATAATAAAATAGTAGAAAGAAAAATAAAAATAAAAATTTATTTTTATTTTGTAAGTATTTAGCTGAAAAAAATAAAGTGATGGTGAAATACAACTAAAAATAAATATAATTTAATTCATGAAAAAAGTAATAATAAAAACAAAGTGTAAGAACGATATTCTTTCAAATTAATGATATATTGTTTTTATTTATTATATATCAATTATTTTTCTCATCTCTCGTCATTAAAGTCATCACTATCGCCTCCGCCACTATTATTGTCTTTTGTAATAAAAAAAATTCAAATTTTTTTTTCATACATCCATTATCACTTCTTTTATTGACACAATTTATGGTGTTAAAATTAATTTTTAAAAAATATATTATTGCTATTATTACAATGTTATTACCCTAAACCTCTTTCTCATCCTCCTCTAATATCACCATCACTCCAATCATTTTTATTTATTTAATTATTATTATAATTAATAAAATTATTTTTTTAATAACTTTTATTATTTATCTTCAAAATCAGATATTAAAAATTTTAAATTTTATTCATATTCCTTATTCTAAATCTAGTATTGGAATGAAAATGCCTTTTCAATTATTTTTCTTCTGAAATTCATTTTCGGTAACCAAAATACACCTAAAGATTGACACCTTAGGTTGTGACTTGTGAATTTATTAACAAGAAAGAGAGTAATTTAGTGTTCAAACCACATTTTATTCATTATATCAAGAGATAAAAATATAGACTACTTGTGCTAAACTTGCTAATTTGGGGAGTTATACCTGCCAAGTTGGTCAAATCAACATACGTTCACACCGGAGGGAAAAAAAAAAAAAACCCAAATTCACACATTGTGATGTTTCGTGATAATTTACTTTGTAACCAGATAGGCAAAAATTGTTGTACAAAATAAACATGTAGATGTGACAGTGAAAACACGGTGCTTAAGCATGTAAATTGAAAAGGAAACTTCTCTTCCAAACTTTAAAATCCACCTTTTATTTTAGTGTCTCCCCTCCCCATAAAGCAAAGCAGGTGGTCCGTGATTCTTTTGGGATCAACATTTCAAACAGTGCATAAAATTCGTAAAGATTTCAACATCAAAAATTGATGCTCCTACTTAACGATTGAGTTCATCTGGTAATGGATTTTGCTCCCCAGTAGAACATACACAATGAGATTTCAAAACATATGCTCTGTTCAAGGTTACAATTTCCATAGAATTCAAGTACCCTTCATGGAAGAGCAACATAAAAGAAAAAAAAACTATAGAATTCAATACTATATATCCCATGTTTTCCAAAACAAAAAGACTAGTGAATTTAAAGAAGGAAATAAAAAAACAAAATAATAATAAAGTAACCACATGCTTCTTACATCTTCATAAGCAACGAATGGAATAGCTACCTTAGCAAGACACCCTTGAATCTGAAGCAAAGGAGCCAAAAGCATTCACCTTGTCTGTACACTCTAGCAATCACTAGCATCTTCATAAAAAATCAGGAGCAAAAAGTTCTCATTTGGAGATCTGAACTGACCTGACCTACTTGCAGAAACTCATGAATTTACCATGGCCCGAACCCATCTGCCTCTTCCTCCATAGCAACAGGAAGATTAAGATCAATTAGCCCACGCATCGATATCTCAGGCACATCTTGCTCAATCACCACAGGTCTTTCCCTGGCAGCACCCATAAAATGGGACCTCTTATGACCACCCAATGCTTGACCTGATCGGAAAACCTTAGGACAGAAAGGACATTCATGTACTTTTCCTTTTTTCAACCCCAATTTTTTCTCTGCTTTGCCAGAAGAATTCTTCTCAATTGGAATTTTTCCACTTCTAGATTGAATCATCTTGCTGCTTCGAGGAATTGGATTAGGGACATAGTCAGTATCTACACTGTTCTCGCCACTCTCATATATTGAATCACTGCAGCCATTAGCCTTGTTATGGCTGGTTCTGCGTCCCCCAAGAGAAACACATTTGCCCTTCTTATGAACACTGCTGCTAAGAAATTCACATGACTCATTCTTGCATCTCTTTTGCGAATCCATCGAATCTCTATCGGCTTGATCATATACATCTTCCTCAATGAAATCCTTCCCTAACTGAGTTCTAATACGCCTAAACCTGCTTAATCTTTTCCCTGGTTCAGCATCAAAATCATCATCATAACTAGACCCAAATTCTACTTGATTCTTCTTGAAGTCATCAGTCCTAGCAAACCCATGAACAGCAACCTTCTTGGGACCTTTCCTAAAATACCCGGAATCAGAGTTCTCAGACTGGTCATTTTCGGTAGAAACAAACCCCCTCTGCGTTGCTTTCTTCATATCTAATGGCTCGATACCACTAGACACAAAATTAACGCCATTTTTTACATCGATCCTCATTTTCATAGATGAGGATTTACCCTCTAAAACCACAGAATTGTTATCTGAAGAATCTGCAACTGAACTAAAACAACCTTTAAAACCAGAATCCTTAGACAACATCATCAAACACTTAGCCACTTCCTCTTGTTCTTGCTCTATATCAGAAGTAGAAGATAAAGAAGCAGCATTTGCCAAAGATAATGAAGGAGCGTAAACATCAACAGTCTTGTACCTCATTCGTTTGGATCTCCTTGGCTTACTTGGATCAGTTGTCTCACTATCTGATTGGTTGTCCACAACTGTTTCTTTCAGCTTCTCAGTAGTCCCCGACTGGTCTTGAAAGTAGTTCTTAGAATGACAAGCCATGTGACCACACAGTGCTTTCAGTGATTGAAAGCCTTTACCGCATTCCTTACAAACCTTCTCTGGTAGTGAAGTAGTGTTGCTTGAATCCGCCACAAACCTGCTTGTTTTCCTGGGGTTCTCTCGAAGAACATAACTACCAGGTTCAGACACAGAGATTTGCTTGCTGTTGCTTTCGGTCTTGCTTACCTTAATCTTGGCTTCTTCATCAATTGAAGAAGTTCCATTAGCATTCAAATGGATCCTGATATGACCACCCAAAGACTTGCCGCATGGATATCTTTTGTTGCAAAACTTGCAAACAAAGTTGTTCTTTTGATTTGTTTCCATGGATTGATCTAATCAAATTAACACAAACAAACTAAGAACAACAAAATCTACGACACGGATGTTACCTCAATCTTCGAAGGGGAGCTGCATTTAGAGAAAGAAAGACACACCCATTTGGCGAAAGAAGAGAGCAGGACGGGGTCAAATCCAGATCAAGTAGCAGATAAAACAGATCACGAAATTTGCTGCTTCGTTACTGTTGATTGATCAAGAGAATCAGAAAGAGTAGAGAGATGTGACAGTTTTGTTAAAGTACAAAGATCAGACCCACTTAAAGAAAAAGCCATCCAAATCCCAATTCTCAAGTACACACATTAGGCCTCTCTAAAGAATTTAATTGGGGTGTTTCAATGCCAAGCGAAAATCAGAGCTCTTTTTTTTTTTTTTTTTTAAGAAATATGGGTAGAAAAATGATGGGCGACGAACAAGGTTTCTCTATGTGAATGAACAATCAAAGCATAGCACAACCATGACTCTTTCGCTTTTCTCTCTCTCTCTAAAATAGAGATACTCAATCTCTCTCTTCTTTGTTTTTGTGTTGTAGTTGGAGGAGAATTCCATGCATGGAAGCAAATATTGAAAAGGGAAGAAAAGATAGGCAGCACGTGTACTCAAGTGAGAACCATTCGGCCTGGAGATTGGACGGTCAAGATTAACTTGGACTTTCGGATCCCAAGGAATGAGGATTTTAGTAGATACTACATTAACAATCAGCAACTCTCTGACTGCACAGCAACAGCAGCATCCAAACTCTGTATTTATATATAAATATATCTCTCTATATATTCCTTGCTTTGCATTTGCTTTGTAAGCTCATAAGTCATACAATTGAAAGGTCAGAATCTCCAAGACTCCAACCGTTATTGCTCTCCCTTTTAGGTTCCCATATATCTTTTACCCCTTCATATCATATGCAATTGCATACGTAGCTACACTTTTTTTTTTCCTTCTGATATGAAAATTCTTCCCCAATTTTTTATTTTTTTTTAATTTAATCTTATGCTTAGACCGTAGAGCTCCTCCCTATCCCTTAAAAAAAAATGTAGTGCTAGCAATTTGCTGCATCATCAAGTCACATCTGGACCGCTTGTCCCATTAACCTAACCACTACTTTCCAGGATCATTTATGCTTGAAATATCCCTCTTCTTAAGGAAATATATATGGGTAATAAGTAGCATATTGAATTTTCATATCTGTCATCTATATAAGATATCTACAACATCCAATTGGAAACAGTTCAAAAATTGAAACGCCACTATTGCTATTTATGAGCCCATCTATTTTCTTTGGTAATTCCATTTTTAACTTCAAGATTTTATAATTGACTCTCATTTATTTATTTATTTATTATCGTTTTTCTAAATGATTAAATTTTGAAAAAGAGGAAAAAACTAAGATAGGGGACAAAGGATTCACTTAATTCCCGTGACTACTTCACAATTCGCCTTGCGTTATGGAAGAGAAATTTGGGGCTGCCTTCATTGCCTGAACAGGACCAAGGGAATTTCCATTTTCTGGGTCAGACTAAGGGAATTTTCAAGTGTTTGGAGAGGCAATTCCTTGTACACCCCTGGTCTAATTAGATCCCATCATCCCAAAAGGACACCTAATAAGCTACATGATAATTTCATATAATTTTATAATTAATGTCATTTTCCTGCCCAACAAAACAGAGATGTTTCTTGATAATCATCGGGATAGTTGCTTTGATCAAGTCAACCCATCTTTGTAGCGATCTGCTTGTCAAATGCACGAAGAAGATCATTCTTTATTTACTTTGTTACTCTTTTCCTTGCTTACCTTTTGATGCAATGCAGTGCAACTTCTTTATTTGGTCCCATCCCTTTCGGGCATTTAAATTGACCGGCTTGTTTCGTTTTTTTTTTTTTCCTTTGATCCGATAAACATAAAATGGCCAGGAAATTATTTGAGGAAACAAATTTCAGCAGGTCAGGTTATTGATGTTGATAACTTGTATCTACCAACTACAATATGTTAAACAATGAATTATCAGAGTAACTTCTCAAGAAGACATCATAATCATAGAAAAAATAAGTCTTTTACCTTTTGAACCCAAGAAAACAAGTAAAGAAGAAAGCTCCCTTGAGTTCAGTTGCAGGCAACGTGATACCAACAATTGGATGGAGATTGAACTTGCTTTCCTGGAATAGTTGTTATATTCAAGCTCACACAAGCTAATGCGCGTTTTTCCCATTTTAAATGGAAAATTAATGTCTTGTAGGATCCATTATATATATATAATTGTCTTAGTTGGCCAAGGTATGACAAGTTAAAAAATTGAAATTTTCGCCCTCATTAGAAGCCTTGACTTTGAACATAAATAAGAGAACTACTAATGCTATACTATAGCATTATCAATTCAGAGCTCATGACTAGTGCAGTTTGATGGACCAAGATGCCAGTTTACATTGTGATCAGTTGTCCCTAAAGTTGTCACTAACTTTATAAACTGTCTAACTCTTTGTTGTTTTTTTGCCCCCTTTTGGTGATTTCCGTAGCATCATCGGTTCCAAATTCTTCAACATAATGTATGCCAAAAGAAAATGGACCCCTCTTACCCTAATAGCTTAAACTTCTAGTCTCTTCGGAGCACATGACCACCCAAAAAGAAGTCCCATGAAACTGGCAAACTGCTTTCCGGCAGCTGATTAAACTACGGTTGATAAATAACAACCGAATAATGACGAAGGTGAGAGATCCAGGTTGACGATAACAAAGCCTCAAAGTTGACGTGCTGAATCATTTTAGTACAGTATACGGCGGTTGTTAACCGCATTTAATTTGCAGCTTTGCTTTCTTAGATTCTAGCAAGCCTGAAGTCCTGAACCCAATGATCCGCCGGGCCTCCTTTGTTAGTTCCTTGCAAAATCAAAATCAAAACGAGCCTGGTCAACAATTCCCCTCTTTCAGTCTCAATAAACAGGAATCAAGACTGCTACGCCAAGGCAGGGACAAGCACCCAAACGAACTTTCAGTGCCACTCCCAAACAAGTTCAACGAAATCCAACACTTTAACAATGACAGCTAATTCCGTCTCAATAAACAGGAATCAAGACTGCCACGCTAAGGCAAGGACATGCACCCCAATGAACTTTCAGTGCCACTCCCAAACAATGTCATTGCAATCCAACACTTTAACCATTGACAGCTAATACGATAAACTGAAGTTTGAATCCTTTCCGGTGAATGGCTCAGGTCAAGGATCATACACATCATGTGGGTGCAAGGTTTATTGGGGAAGAATGACCGTCCCATTAACAATTGGATCAGTTCATCAACAAGTAAAAGAGTTCTAAGCCCTACAATGCGGAGGATGTAATGAGTCTAATTTCTAATGTGATCAGTAATCACAAAGATTCCATTGAGAAAGGTTATGAATATACATTAAGCAAAACCAAAAACAAAAATTTTTCCTCTTTTTTTTTTTCATTTTCTTTTTGCCCTGTTTGGGGGAAAAACTCCTATCCTCTGGAAAGTAAAAATCTTGAAAGACATTCTTGCAAAGAAAAGCACCAGGACCTTAGTCTCCACAGTGAATGAGCATTTTGTAAACTAAAACATCCAAAAACTATCTGAGGGAGGCTCTAGCTGATGCCATTGCAATCTCTTGTCTGGTCGTCACAGGTTCCTTGTCCAAAAATTTCTTCAATGATGTTACTTGTAGGAAGAAGATCAACACCCCTAATTGGACTAAAGTAACGGGCATCCCAAACTTTAGCATCACAGGGGTCCAGCAAGTATACCTGATCCACGTCATCATCACATCCATCTACTTTACTGGCCAGGCATTCACTATGGTCATTCGTACCACTATTTACATGCAAAGCATCTCTGGTATCAACCGGGCCACAAGAGTCAACTTTATTGGCTTGGAATTCAAAAGACATGCAAGAGTCATCTTGAACAGTGAAATCCACCCCATCACTGCCAGCATTCTTGTCCATGTGCTTAACAGGATGAATACTGTTCATATCTGGTGCTTCTGAGGCATAATCTATCCCCGAATCTTCTCCTGTGGTGTCCCCACTAGCATCCCCTAAATCACCATCAAGGTCACCACCGTCGTCGTCGTCGTCGTCGTCATTGTCGTCATCTTCAAGAATATCCTCTCCCAGCTCAGCATGATCATATTGATCAACAGGAGACTCAAGATCAGAGTCTTCATCTTCTTCAACAACCTGATTATAGGAGCCCCTAATGATCCGAGGCAATTCATCGTCATCACTGTCAATGTCCAGCAGGTTAGATCTGTTTTGAGCAGCTCGCTTCCGAAGCATAAAGACATTGGAGTAATAGCTGACAATTTCCTTTGTGGTTCTATCAGGAAACACCTGCGCCAACTGCTTCCAAAAATTGTGGCCCAAGGACGCTGGCCTGGAATAAACAACTTCATGAAAAACCTGTTCCTCCTCCTCAGTCCATTTACATGCCACCTCCTCTCCCATGTCATAAAACCCCAAGTTTACAAATTTTTCATGCCCAAGGGATTTTATTAATTCTTCTCGTGCTTCCATTATGTGTTGTCGCACACATCTGACAGAGCCTTCATCCAGGCATCCACAATCTGTTCTGCCAGAACCAGCCTCATACCTACTGCACAGATGCGATTTTGCATCTGGCATTGGAATGATGCAAGTGCCCACCAGCTTCTCTTCACTGTCATTACAAATGTGATGGTCTGATTCAGACAATGAGGAACCATTTAAATTGAATGAGTCTACTAACTTATCCTTCTTGATATGCCTATCCCACAATGGAATGCTGGCTTGATGATTTGGCCCAAGAGGAACTTGTTTCCTAGGAATGTCATCCAAATAGGAAGCGTAGACATTCTCAAAAGGCATGGATGGTTTCCGAGGGAACTCAAAGTCAAAATATTCAAGGGAAAGAGAAGAGCAAGCTGCAGGTCCGGACACAAAATCTTCATCGCTGGAACTGCTGGTGACTAATGACAAAGGAGCACTGGAGTCAGAATCTTTAGCCAAATTTGAAACTTCAGTAACTTTGTCATTTTCAAATGTCTCATGCCACTTATGTTTGACAAAGCTGCTCCCATAGCCATCTGCTTTACATGAAAAGAATGATACAATTGGACTGATCAGCATAGGCATTTCAACAGGTGAACAGAACACCATATTAACAGTGGTAGACAACCAAGAAGTGAAGTTCAAGGCCACAATTTTTACCTGTGATATCAGGTTTCTGAGGCACATTACTATGAGCACCAGTTTCTGAAAATTGAGTCAACTTATTGCAGTAGTCCACCTGTCTTGCCTGCTTAAAAGGAAGACCCTGGAACTCTTCATCATCAAAAGGCCGTTTGAATCCCATTTAAGCCTGAAATACAAAGAGCAAATTATACAGAAATTTAATTGAAAAGATTAACAAAGAATAATTTAATGCAGCAAAACACAACATATCTCAGCCGTGAGCCACAGACAAACGACAAGGGAAAAAAACTGAAGCAATTTTATCTAAATGCAACCAAAAAATAATTCCTTAGTGAAGAGTCCACAAAATTGAACTAAGCACAACTTCCCATATGCATGAGTATCCAGCACCAAACTCCCTCAAAATTCAATAGCACAATCAAGAACGGTTGGTAAGAAGAAACAAGCAAGACATCAGGAAACATGCAAATGTCGCATAAACTGAGAAATGCCAAAGCAACTTGGTCCACAAGTAGTTACATATTCAATACAGATTGCTAAATAGCATAGTAACCTACAGCCATAAAAATCAGGTAGCATTTAAATCCGCTTAGCCTCAGGTAGCGTATAGAACGGCTTAGCTATTCAGCATCCCATGATTCAAAAGCATGACTTATGAAACTCAGAAATTTTACTTTCTGACAACATTTATGAACCTCGTAGACATTTACGAACCTCGTAAACATTACTTGTAGAGATGTGAATGCAATTATCAGACCAGAAACAAGCACATGTAATGAAACAGTAACCATAAACAGTAGGACACAAACACATACAGACACATTACAGCCACTGCTAGCATTAACATCAACAAACAAAATCAGCAGACATTTTCATAGTAGCCACCGTTAGCATTAGGTTCAGTTAAAACAGGGTATGCATACACAAGAGGTAAACAGAAAATAAGAAATATTCATCAATACACAACATATATTTGGGGTAACAATTGCTAATTAACAGTAATTTACCTTTACAGTAAGTTGAATTCAAACTTCAAAACAGAATAGGACAAATTGAGCGTAAACGACACTGAATTATACTTCAAAGATGATTTATTGATGTGTGGACTCGAATCCCTAAATCAATTTTACAAAAAAAACAACCTGACAAATTTTGGGGAAAAAACCCTAACCCTAGATTTTGAGTTCACGAATCAAACCGCAAAATTACGGACAAATAGGGAGTATACAGACACCAAATAACGAAACGGGCAAAACCCCTAAACTTCTTAATAGATTTGAGCAAGTCCGAAACAGATCGAAGACTTCGAAATCCTAAACTCCAAACGTAATAACAATAATAAAAAAATTGGACTTAATTGTTTTAGGGAAATTACTTTACACACGAAACTGATTAGAAAAGCATAAACGATCGAGAGATTAGAGGTCGCGATGAGTTCGAGATGAGAAACCCTAACCCTAGAAAATTTTAAAATAACAATTGGTAATGAAATAAGTATCAATCGAAAGAGTATTACACGAATTGAAAGAATTGATGGTTGGATCTAAGATATAAGAAAGAATTTTGACAGAAATCGCAGATCGATTTTTGGATTTAATTACTTGAAAGAGACGATGAAAAAAGAGGAATTTTTAATGGTACGTGAATTCGGTAGACGACGCGGTCCGATATACTAACCGGGTTAAATTGGTCATGACTGATGAGCTGGATCCCAATATAAGCTAGACCGGTCCGGGTTTGTCGAAATTACAATAAGGTCCTTTCATTCAATAGCCTGGATTTTGTTTCATCGTTTTTGCTTTTTTTCTCTTCTGAACTTCAAGTTAAATGTTTGGTCTAGCTTAATTTTCTCTCGTTTACATAAAAATCGAAATTTGAAATCTTCCTTGATTTGAGTTTTTTAACGAATATAAATGTCTTATTGGCATAGCCGTTGTTCTTTCACCATTGTTTGATTTTCTTTTTTTTTTATCATCCATTCGTTTTCTTAAAAATTGAAGATATAATGGGAATAGTATTTCAAATAAATTACGATTTTAAATTGAATTTATCAAGTGTATAATTTCAACTCAGTTTTCAATCATATAATTTTAATATTATCAAACAGGTTAATTAATTTATTTCACCTAAAATAAAATCTTTCAACTTTTTCTAAAAAAATATTTTATATGAAATTAGTAACATACATCACAGAAATTTTATATTATTTTAAAAATAACTAACAATACTTAGATACAAAGAAAATAAAAAATTAAAAAAATATTTTTTTATCATATTTTTTGGATGGGATGTAATTTTTTATTTTATTTTATTTGTGTCCATTTGTTTGTATAAGATAATTCAAAATTAATTAATTGATTATTTGTTTAAGTAAGCTAGTTTTTTTTTCCCTTTAATGTTATCTGCATGTTGATCAAATTACCATACTTTTTTTTATTTTTCTAAATTAAAAATAATTTCATACTCGATATTAATAAGAAATAAATTTTAGTTGAAAGAGTCTAATCATTTCGAACTTTAAGTCATTCAAGATTGAATTTATGAAATTTTTTATTGATTTTGAGGATTCTTGAACCTGTAAAATTTTGAAATTTAGTTCATCTAATAATTTTCAGTTATTATATTCTCTTGAAAAATTCAATTTTTGAAATTTATGAGATGAAATTTTACACGCACATTGGAAAAAGTCAATCCATTTTGTATAAAAATTCCAGAATTTTTTCAAAATTGAAAACTACATTTATTTATTTATTGAAAATAAAAAATAAGAAAACAAAAAGGAAATAACCTCAAAATGATTTCAAAATCGTTTAAGAATTCTACATAAACCTTACTCGAATGATTCTTATCATTAAAATATTTATGTGATTATTATTTTTTAAGATAAATGACAGAAAAATAAAAAACGAACTAAATTTAAAAAAGAAAAATTCAAGGATCTATGAAATTAATAAAAAAAATTTAAAAACTTAATTTTTAAATGACTTAAAATTCATGAATGGTCATTCCTTTTTAGCCATAAATTTATGATCGTGCACGTGTAAATGCTTGGGTCAAAATGAGCATGCAGTCTTGGTTAACATGGGTTACACCTTACTGGACACGGATTTTATGTTTTATTTTCATGAAAGTCAAACGCACATGCAATATATTTTCCATAGAAGACACTCAAGCGGATCCTCCATTAAAAAGACTAACTAAATTCACATATATTAATCTTAATTTCAATCCAAACTTTACATGTACTTGAGTATGATTCCGTTGAGTCCAATGTCGGCCCAACATCCTTCTTTTTATTGAATTTTTTCTACTGAAAAATCTTATAAATTCATAAAGTTATATGAAAAACTAGCAAAAAAATAAAATAAAATGTTTATGTATTGTTAAACTCTCGTAAACATTGAATCATAATTTCAATCATATATTTGTATAAAATATGTTCCATACCAATAAAAAGATTTGGGATAGTTTTCAAACAGAATTCCTTATTTCATACTTTTACTAAAAAAAGGGATTTAATTAAAAGTCAATGTTAGCTGTAAATACAGGATATTTCAACTCCTATGTTACAATAAGCATTTAAACAGCTTAGGAGACTTGAAAAGATATCCATATTTGATCCATTTTTCGTCTTTGTATTAAATAAAAAATATGCAATATTCTTAATCTGGAACTTATAACATAAAATTTTATGTGGTTTAAATTAAAATAATTTAAAACTCATATGTTATGGGAAATTTTCATTTAAGGTTTTTTGTTGGTTTTTTTTTTAAAAAAAAAATCCTCTATTCAAAATCACGTTAATGTATGCATACAAATAAAATCCAATGTTTAGACATACGTGTAGAATAATACTTAAAAATTGTACTGTGTGAATTAATTGAAAATTACATTAAATTGTATTGTAAGCTCATAAACGCGAGTTACATCTCTTTGCTCACTGTTTCAAGGCTCGGCAAATTTTGATCTCGTCATTGTTCCACTTTCACATGGAAAATCAAATTTTACTGAATCGTGGTTTAACCGGTTCAGACCCATTGACTAGCAACCAAAACCAGAGCTTACTAAAATTGGCTTGTGTGATTTTTTGGCGTCATTGAAAAACTAAGAATGGATGCGTGTTCCAAAGGAAAAGCTAGTGTGTGGTAGAGACTGTGCAGATCAGTACGAGGAGTATTGAAGTCGCTGCTTCTGCTAATTCAGCAATAACTGGAGTTCCAATTGAACAGGCTTGGCTTCTCTTGGAATCCTCCTCTAGAAAATTTGATCAAGCTGAATTGTCATGGGGATTTTAAAGAAAACGGAAGTTAGGAAACTTTAGATCAGTGATTGGATAAATTTTTTACTAGTGCAACTATTCGTTACCGAGGCTGCTACTATTAGGGTTTGATCCCCAAATGTATGAAGCCTTGGCCACGAGGGAAGTTCTTCTTCTGGGTTTAGTGATGGGTTTCACGAAGATTATTATTGAAAGGGATGCAAAGAATTTATTGAAGCAGCAGCTTCTACTAGCTATTTGGATCCTAGTATTAAATAGATGACATAATTCTAAAAATCATGGTGATTAGTGTCCGCATCATCGTAGTAAAATAACATCGCAATAATTAATATCTTGAATGAATTAACAATTATTAATAAATTTATTTTAATTCATATATTTTTAAGAATTTTAATAATTAAGCATAAATAAAATCTCTAATAGTTTAACTTTATATAACGATAGTTTAATTTATTACAAAAGAAAATTAATAATACTTCTAATATTTTAATATCATATTATAAACTATAATAAAATATATTACAATTTTAATGTACTCATTACAAAATATTTATCTTCAAGAAAAATTATCGTGAAGAATAATAATAATAGTTCTTATTATTGATGTATAATACATCTAATTTTTTTTTAAAAAAAAAACATTTTTTTAATGTGATGACCGTTATTTAATAAATAATAGTATGACAATGCTATGGAACGGTAATGATCGTTATTACTGTTGTTTGTGCTAAATGTTAAAGAAATTTTTATAATGTCAAATAATGATAATAAGTATGGTCATAATCGTTAAATAACATTGTTATTTGAAACTATTACGTGGACAATGAGGTCCATTATGTCATTGTTAGTTTATGATATTGTTCATCTGCCGTGGAGCTTCAAGAAGGCGGAAATATGTAATTGGACAGCTTATAAAGTGGCATCAATTACCCTAAAAGAGCATATTAGCTCTGATAATCATCATGTGCCAGTTGGAAGACTCCAACAAAATGAGCTTCTTATTATACTAGTGAATATCTGATCTTTGGTAAATGATAATAATAATTTGATGAGCGGCGGAAGATTCGTTCAATAAAAATAGGGAAACGTGGCTCATCTAGACGAAATGAGGGTTTGGTAGTTAAAAAGAATGTTAGAAGATTTTTTACACTTGATTCCTGCAAAATAAGTCCCTTCAATTGAGTGATGGATCCTTTGATGATTAAATTGATAGTCGAAAAATGACAAAATAGTTGGAGAGTACTCTTTGAATAAAATGTTTAATTATAGGAAATATTTTCAAATGAGAAAAAATTATTCAAAAATTAGAATGTGAAACTCTTGGTTATCCGGGTCTCTGTATATACAATTATGAGTACAACTTTAATAGAGTAAGAGATATAATTATCCTCTCTTTTTTTGACGCAAGTGGTCAAGCGGATAGTTGATGATTATCTTCTATCGTTTTATCTAATATGCGATAAATTTTATAATACTCAAAGAGTAATTTGTGACATGTATAATAGTTATTCCATTGATCCACTTAGAGGAGAGAGACATACACATAAAAAGGAGAAAGAATTACATACGGATCCATAAAAAATTATAAAGAAGATTTTCATGTTTATTCAATTTTTTTTCTAATTTTTCTCTTCTTTTTATATATCTATTTATATCTTCAAAGTAGATCCATAAAGTCGACTACCGTACATATCATTAGCTACTCTTTAAGTATTATAAAATTTCTCATAATTTGCAATGATATTAATGCTATTACGATGAGTATTACGATGAGTAGTAATTTGATGGTTATCATTATATGATTTATTTTTCCTGGCAATATTGGAGAAAAATGGAGTTTTCTTTTCTTGGTTTATGATGCCTAGAATGGGAGAGTTTCTATTTTTTTTTTTCCCCTCCGAACGACGGCTTGCCTTGTAAGAGATAGTTGTCCCTTAGAAACTTTAGGGATGTCTGACTTGTTATTTCCTTTTATTGTGACTTATGAACTTAACTTGAGTTGGGCTTGATAGATTTGGCGTTATGCATATTTGTCCTGTCTGTTAGATTGAAAAAAATAAAATGACATATATCACCTGAGTCTACAACTATCAATAATAATAACACGACATGTCAAATTGTCAATTTCTTATTTCGCATACCATTTTACGCTAACTCATTTGGGAGGAGTTTAGAAGATCATTTGATGAAATTAGAAGCATAGAGATCCGATTGAAAGTTGAAACACACGAAGTCGAAAAGACAGCCATTGTTTTTTCTACAAATTCTTCCATGACTTGAAAATCACCATAATTTGACATCCTAGCAACTCACCTTGTTGCATTCACCGTCGTCAACAGACAAAATAGCACAGGTTAATGACGATGTCGCATCCTGCACCCTTCAACTGACAAAGGCATAATCTCATGTCTTTTTAATTTCCCCATAAAAGATCCAGGAGATGGAAGAATGATAATAGTAATACAGTAATTACCAATATATATAAAAGGAGCAAGGACAGCTATAAAGAGTACTTAAATTTCCAGAAGTTCTGATTTATTTATTACAGTAAAACAATAAGAACATATAATATTTTGCTACCAGCAAAAAGACATCCCGACATAATGGTGTCAGGAAACCCGTCCATCGCACAACAAGAAACAATGGAAATCCCATGACTATAAAAATATATATAGCTAGACAAGGAAAAAAAAAAGAAAAAAAGAAAAGGTACACCCGATAGTGTTGCTCAATATGTGATTCTACTACAAGCTTCCCCATGCACTTCAAAACATGGAGTCTTATGCCACAGCAGGCATGTCCTTCAGCCAGGCATCCAATGGCTTACCAATGGAGTAAACAATAAACCCAATTTGCCTCAGCTGATCAACATCCACTACATTCCGTCCATCAAAAACAAAAGCAGGCTTCTGCATGTCATCATAGATCTTCTGGTAATCAAGGGTTTTGAACTCATCCCACTCGGTTAGAATGCAGATCCCGTGAGCACCCTTTGTTGCCTCATACGCATCCCATACGCAACTAACTTGCTCGACAGCTATGGGGCTCACTGCCCGAAGATGAGGAGGTTTGTCCAATTCGGATTTGTGCATTGAGAGATCCCTTTGAATCTGTTCCTGTGGAACCTGAGGGTCATATATGCTCAACATAGCCTTGTCACCCAACAAGCCCTGGCAAACACCTATGGCTGGGGTCTCCCTTGTATCACCAGTGTCTTTCTTGAAAGCAAATCCAAATATCGCAATCTTCTTACCCGAGACTGTGTTGAACATGGAGGAAACCACCCGGTTCACAAAACGGGTCTTTTGGTACTCATTCACCTTAACAACCTGTTTCCAGTAGTTTGCAACCTCAGGGAGGCCATTGCACTCACAAATATAGACCAGGTTCAAAATATCCTTCTGGAAACACGATCCACCAAAACCCACACTTGCATTCAAGAACTTAGGCCCGATCCTCGTGTCCTTGCCAATAGCATGTGACACTTGGGAGACATCTGCACCTGTGGCTTCACAGAGTGCCGACATGGCATTGACAGAAGAGATCCTCTGTGCCAAAAAGGCATTTGCAGCAAGTTTCGAGAGTTCAGCAGACCAGAGATTGGTGCATAAGATCCGTTCAACGGGAACCCAGTGGGCATAAACATCTTTCAATGCTTCAATTGCCTTCTGCCCTTCTGGGCTCTCCCTGCCACCAATAAGGACTCGGTCTGGATTGAAAAGGTCCTGGATTGCAGTTCCCTCGGCAAGAAATTCTGGGTTGGAGAGAATCTGAAAGTTGATGCCTCTGCTATTGTGGGTCAAAATCTTTTCAATTGCTTCCGCAGTTTTCACTGGAACTGTTGATTTCTCAACGACAATTTTGTCAGATTTTGACACATCTGCAATCATACGAGCAGCACTCTCCCAATAAGTTAGATCAGCTGCTTTGCCAGCTCCAAGCCCCTGAGTTTTGGTTGGTGTATTCACTGATACAAAGACTATATCGGCCTCTGCCACATGCTTTTCCACATCTTTGCTAAAGAAGAGGTTCTTTCCCCTGCACTGTTTCACCACATCCTCGAGGCCTGGCTCGTAAATGGGGAGATGGTCGCTGTTCCAGGCAAGGATTCGCGGTTCAAAAATATCAACAACTACTACTTCAATTTCTGGGCACTTCATTGCAATCACAGCCATGGTAGGCCCACCGACATAGCCAGCTCCAATGCAACAGATCTTCACCATAGTTATATGTAACGGACAGCCTAAACATAGAATCAAAATACAAATTAACTGGAAGCACACATCAGTCTTGCCTGATTATAGACAGGTAACAGATCTTGAATACAAATTATTCCTCGACGCTAAAATCAACTAATCACTTAGAGAACTCAATTAATACACGTACGCTTGGAAAATTCAGGATCACACTACAACATGCTTTAGCATGCAATTTTAACAAGCAGACCAATAACATGGTTTATATCATAGAGACACAGGGATCACAGTATTAGATTTATGGACTCCGTTACCTTAAAAATCACAGATCCAAGGATGCACTATAAAGCAAGAAATGGAAGCTCTCCGATTTTATAAAACCAAAAAATTAAGTCCAACGTCTCAAAACCCTTCCTTCAACTGTTAGGGATCAAAATCACAACAGCCAAATTCAGATCTAGAGGAAGCGTAGACCAAACATCCCATTAAAAAAGATCAACCAAAAAAACAGATCTACCCATCATCAAACTGAAAATATACACTAAACCAAAAACCCAGTATAATAAAAGCCAAAAACCAACAAACTAACTCCATATACAAAAAACAACTCATGTCAGCAAAGGGAAATGGCCATGAGCCAAAAGTATACAATCAACCAGACAACGATCGAAGTAAAACTAGAGCAGTTACCTTCGGAATCTTCAGGTTCTTTGATTGAAATGGGGGATTGAGAGTACAGAGAAATGAGAAAAGACAGAACAAGAGACAGAAAAGGAAAGCAAAGGCGGGAGCGTGTTGCGCCAAAGAACGAGGAAAAAGTAGGGACTCTTATCTTGTACTTATACCCGCCTAAAGCTTCGTTTCAAGACCTAATGGCATGATGACCAAAACTGGCACTGACACGTTTATCCTTTCAGTTTCGCTCATTACAGTTTAGCCACCTACAAACTAATTAATTTGTCAAACTATGAAAGCCCAAGAAATCAAAAATAAAAAGTGTATTTTTACAATTTTATCGTCAAGGCGTAAATATCACTACGAGTCATGATAAAAAAATAAATGGGACATTGTGTTTTCTCAAAAAAAAAAAAAAAAAAAAAAAAAGGGAAACAGATACAGAGGGGAAAAGGAAACTGTGAATTGCATTCCAGACAAGGACAGTTTGACACCCCAACATTATTGAGGCACCGACGGTATGACTTGTATTGGTAACGCGTAAGTGACGCCCCAAAATGGTAAAAGTTGCTGTTGCTTTGTTTGGCACATGAGAATGAATCATCCTTTAATTCGCTTTTTGCGCCAACTTAAATATATTTCTTAATGTTAATGGATGTATTGAATTTTATGCATCTCTCCAGCTACTATATTAAAACGCAATATTTAATGCTAAACATAATGACCACTCTGATATAAAAACCAACATCAATCTATAATTAAAAATTTTTATAATATTCAAAAAATAATTAATATACATATATAGTTATTTTAAGATTTTATTTTTTAAGAAAGATATAGACATACAGAAAAAAAATAGAAGAGAAAAATTAAATCAATATGAAATCATATCCGAATCCATCAAAAGTGATCAAAAAATTTTCATATTGACTCAAATTTTTTTTAATTTTATCTCTCTTATTTTTCTTTTCTCTTTGTTTCTATCTCTCTCGAAAAATAGATTCATGAAGTAATTACTCGTATATGTATACTAGTTACTCATTTAGTGTTATAAAATTTCTCATCTATAACTTATGTAAGTTTCTAATTAAACCAACATCTATTTATATTCTCTTTTTTAGTCAAATACTATTAAAAAAATTATAAATATTTGATTTTATATTCAAAATTTATTTAATATCATAGAAATGAATTTAAACCCATAAGAAAATATTTTAGATAAAAATATACTTTTATCCTCACCTTTTTTTTCATTTTTTTAGAAAAAATGACAGTTTATTTTCATTTTTTACAATTTTTTTATGTTTCAAAATTTATTCGTTTAAATTTAGTATAAAAAAAAATATAGTGGACGAGATCAAATGAAAAAACAAATAAGGCTGACACGTGTAGTAATTAGGTAGGCCTAACAGTATAATTTAACGCCATTAATCCAAAAAATTAACATGAAAACGATATAAACCAAACATATGAATTTAAGAGAGAGAAATAATAAAAAGACTCCTACAATTATTAACTCGGAGATAAACTGCTGGGAGATGCTGTTGGTGCTGTGTTGTTGAGCCCTTGGGCCTCTACGTGGAAGAAGAAAATTTGACTATGAATCACATAGGCATAAAACTGGTGGGTCTATGGAACAAATGGCCATGAGTAGGATGGAAGCCTCGTAAGGGAGAATATAAGATGGCTGTTCGATATCCAATTACGAAGGAAAGAGGCTGAATTGTCTATATAAAGTGGTTGATCTTGACCGATGTTATAAACTTATGCCACTCGGATGTACATGATTTTGGTATTGGTAATGCGTTATTACCTAAACGTGGAAGACACTACAGATCGATCAATTGAAAAGCGACAGAGACGAGCATCAGTTGACGGAAAAAGACGGTTGGTCAATGTTCAACGGACCCCTTGAGGTTTCAGCAATTAATGTGCCAGTTTTCTGCTTGGAGAAATCAAGGGTAGGAAGTACGTCACCTCTTTATGAATCTGTTTTTTATTTTTTTTAAATATTCTCAGTTGTGTATATATATATATATATATATATATATATATATATATATATATATATATATATATATATAGAGTATCTTTGGTGCATAATCAAATAAACGCATACTTTACATTAATATAGTATATTTAAAATAATAAATTCTTTTGAGTGTCAGTATACTAATATACTATAAAATAATAAATTTTTTTTGAGTGTTAGTTGTAAAAAAATTATTCTTCTAAGGCCCACCCATTGGATGTGGTTCCTTGCTATCTTCAGTTTATTTTCAAATCTCTAATAGTTCCTTCTTTTTTTATTTAAACTGAAACAGTATCATATCCAGTGCTTGTAAAATTATGATGCTCAGTTCAAACCTAATGATGTGGATCCCATATATAAAGACCTATATATAAAGACGGGAGACTTAAACACCTTTGTCGTTGGATAATACTAAGAATGCGTTTAATTAGATTATAATAGACGGAACCCGACTTGTTATCTATAAAAAGGCAAAAACCGAACCCATGTTGCAATAGAGTAAAAAATGCCACACCTTATGAATGATAACAAGTTCGAAACGTCACAATGGTTGCAATCCTTGATAAGTCGAATTTAGTTCTCAAAAGAACAAAAAAAGAAAATCTTCTCAAATTTATTAACTCTCAAAATTATTGCATAAGTCTAAAATATAACTAAACCGAGTCTTTAAATAGGCTAACACGCCACTCCTAACCCTAAAAAACTCTACTTGTCCTTCATTGTCTAAGGAGAATAGAAACAGACCCTCGTGATCTTAAAAACATATGCAAATAATAGGGCTTACAACATGGAGTCAAAATTTGACTTAATTAATTAGTTCGATTATAATTAAGCTATATATAATAAAATACGCCCAATATGATTTAAGGAGTTCAATGTTGGACTTTAATCAAACTAACAAGTTTTTTATCCTCATCCTTTCTTAAGATAGCGCCACGTTGCTCTCTTATGCTCTTGGAAGTGCATTCCGCCCAACACTCTTAAATCAGCCCATGGAAAACTTCTTTAAGCTTTCTAAACCTAGCCCACATTATTAGACCATTTTTAATGTGTAATGGATTAGATTTTGGACTTGTAAACTCGTCGTCTTGGACCTTCCTTGGAGATACCACCTTGCTAGTCCATTTAGCTCTATGGTTTCCATCATTCTTTTCCTCTTTAAAAGAATTCGTCATCAAATCTTTTTCGTTAACATCTACAACAAAACGAGAGAGATCAAAAATATTGAAAGCGAGTACTAATTTCATACTCGCTCGATAAATCAAGCTTGTAAGCATTATCATTGACTCTTGCAACCACTTGAAAAGTGTCATCTCCATGTGGTAACAACTTAGAATGTTGTTGAGCTAGAATACGCTCCTTGTGCATATGCACCCAAACCAATCGCCTTGTTCAAAGATAATTTTATTTCTCTTTTTATTAGCATTTATTACATATTGCTCATTCTTCTTTTTAATGTGTTGTCGCACCTTCTCTACTAGTAAGATATAAACACATGTCATATGTAAGGCTCAAAAAAATTTCCATCACAAACAACCAATTGAAACACCGCACATGTCGGGTTATAGTCAAAATTAATGAAAACTTTAGTTGATCACTAACACAAAGACAATGTCCAATGCTACAAAATTACAAAAGAAAAACTAAAAGATTTAGTATAGATTACTATTTATGATATTGTTTATCCGGACCCATATGCACTTGTTTATTTTTAATATGCGGTTGTGTTTTTTTTTCACATTTTTTGGGCATTTATATGAGAATTTGACACTCGTGTTTCATTTCTTAATGTTTCTAAAATAAATTTTTGGTCCCTAGACGGACTAGGTGTGCATGCTTGCATCTTTTTTTTTTTTTTTTTTTTAATGCTTTTGTTTTCTTTAAGCATCTTTGAAGTGGTGCAAAAATAAAAAATAAAAAAAATTATATTTTTTTCTATTTTTTATACAAGTCGGTGATTATAAAATATATATGATATGTTCTTAGATTTTAGAATAAACATATATGTCCGATTATATTGCTCTTATTGTTTAAAATTGATCTCTTTAAAATATCATTTTTTATAAAAATTCTCATAAAATTAATTTTTATTCTTTTTTGTATACTCGTATTTTTTTAATAAATATGATTTATTTTCTTCCATGTATGAATTTCTCAAATAAATTTTTCTAACAAAAAAAATTAACGTGTTTTGTTTACTTATTCTTTATGTAATAAAAATTCATCATAATCGATTTTCCGGTTGTTTTTATTATAATGTATTAATTTCAATATATTCTTTGCAACTTAAGTTTTTTTTTAATACTTTTTTTTTATGCTACCCGCTATGATCCACTAAGTATTGCCATGACATATAAATAAAATTAAGATCGTTAATTTTATTAGAAATTAACTATCCATCAACACACATAACACCATCTTTTTGCGATTGATTTTTTAATATTCTAAAATTAATTTTCTTCAAATAAAATAATATTTTAAAAGAACCACCTAATAATTCAAATATTTTTTTTACTAATATTATCGATTCTTTTGTAAATAACTATTTAAATCAAATGTACACATTTTCAAAAAGTTAGTCTTCTCGTTAGTATTTAACAACCATAAAAAAAAATCATTTGTTAAATTTTATACAATTTTTTATATTAATTATTATTTTATTTTTTCGATGCAATCTTATTAAGATACTTTTTAAAAATTTATATTTACATTATTGCAAATTTTTATTTAAAAATACATACCTAAGGAGGAAGATATTGCATTTTTATAACTATAAAATTTATGAAAAAAATAAAAAATACAAAATTTTGATTAAAAAAATATGAAATTAAATGATTTTTTTTTTTTTTACTTTTAATTTTATATATTTTGGTCAACTGATGCTAGAGTACAAAGTATCAAACTAGCATAAATATATTTTGTGTAGCATGTTAAACCGACTAGTTATTAAACTAAGCAAAAATGTGTAAAACAAAAAGATGAACTAGCTAGTTGGATTTGTATCAAGGGAGCAAATTTTGGTGAACTTTGCTGTAAACCCATCAAGCTGCTCCTCATGGTGGCGCTGGTGGTTGTGCCAGTGTCTTCCTTCTTCAACGGTGGCGGCGTTGGTGCTACTGCACATGGCAAAGTAATTGAAACATGGTCTTTGTTGCTGATCTTGGATTTAGAAAGTGCAAATTTTTGATTTTTATGTAATTTGAGCTTGGTTTGATTTTTATGTAACTTGAGCTCTGTTTGATTTGGACCCATTTTTAGCTTATCTGTTTAATAATGTTGGTTGGTTTTGTCTTTTGGTATAGAAAATATGGTTTTAAGGAATTTTTGATGTCTTTTTGGAACTAAAAGTTGCCATTTTGCATTGATTTGTTGTTGGAATCTTTATTAGACATTTTGATGTGTGTGTGTTGGTTAAAGTGAGAGTTTTTGGACGAGGGGTTGATGCAAATCAAGAAAGTTATGATTTTGTTTAACGGTGATTGTGCCCTTTTGTGTTGCCATCTTTTTTTTTTTTTTGGAATCTTCCTTGATTTGGAGTTTCACATGGGTTTGTGTGTATTTGATTATGATTCATGTTAAGCATTGTAGTTCTTGGACATAGGATTAAAGATTCCGCAAATAACAGGCAATCATTGGAACAGCAGTCTCACATTTGCATGCCCATTAAACAAGATGGGTTCTTTTCTGTGTTGTTTTTTACTTTGTTCATTTGAAGTGAAGGAATTATGTTTTGATATTAGCGAGTGTTGTAATCCTGACTCTTAAAATTCTTTATAAAGTAGTGTTACATGACATTAATGATATAAAAAAAAATCATCATAATTTTATAAGGATAGTGTTATAAAACCCTAGTTTGAAATTTTCAATAAATATTATGTTATTTAACATTTTTACTTTTCAAGTTTACCTTTAAAAACTTTTTATTTTTTAAAATAGTGCCTATTACCATGGTGTCTCCAAGCATTTTCCTTATAATAAATGATGTGTTATTTCAATATTATGTTGGCGTCCATATTTCTTAGCAGCAGAACAACACTTGTGATAAAAATCACAAATTATAAAATAAACTAAAAGAAAGGCAGTCATGATTTTTTTTCTTTTTTGTTTAATAATTTAATTTTTTTATTACGGATTTTTAGGTGAAAATTATGGAGATTTAACATTTTTTTTCCTCATGCAGCACGGCAAGGATGAAATATATATGATATATTTTCATATTTTAAAATATATTATTTTTTATAGAAAATTCTCATCCAATTAATTTTGAATTTTATTTTTTATAAAATTTTATTTACGGATAAATATGATTTTTTTCTTTATAAGTTTAGAATAAAATTAAAAAAAAATGATTATTTTTTCTATTTTTTGATAAATTGATCCAATTTATATCTTGGATTCTTAAAATTTTTAAATAATCATAACATGATTATATATATATATATATATATATATATATATATAATCTAAAGATTTGTTTTAGATAATTTCTTTCGATTTTTTTGAATGTTTTTTCGCTTTATACTTCACACTTCTAGCACACTAAGTATAGTTATGTTGTATAAAAAAATTATTAAATCATTATTTTTATTAAAAATTAGTCGTGTATCCACAAAAATAACACCAATCATTTGCTATTAATTTTTTTGAATATTATAAAATTATTTTTTAAAAAACTAATTTAAATAATTTTTAAAAGATCCACCCAATGATTCAATATATTCTTTTTTATATATAATATTATTAATTATTTTGTAAATAAATGTACATATTTTAAAAAATAATCTTCTCATCAACATTAAATAAAAATATAAAAATATTTTTTTATTTGTTAATTTTTATATAAGTTTATACATTAATTGTACCTTATTTTTTTTATACAATCTTATAAAAAATATATTTTTTAAAGTATATTTTTTAATTTTGGATTAAATTTTCAATTTAGATTATTATAAGTTTTTATTTAACAACCAATGCATAAAAAAAATCATATTTTTTTAAGTAGAAAATATATGAAAAACACAAGGAACAATTAATTAAATACAAGATTTTGATTAAAAATTAATATATATATACTTTTTATTCGATATATTTTAGTAGACTTATAATATTGTACCAACTATTAAATTGAAATAATTTTATTTTACTCATCCCGTAGTGGATCACGGACAAATGATTAGTAGAAACTAAATAATTAGTTTTTGAGACAAAAAAGACTAATAAATTCTTTTCTTAAAATTAGAAGGATTAATTTATAATTTACTCAAATGTTGTCCATAGGTAAAACCATCTAGCAGTTTAGTTTTTTTTTTTTTTTTTTTAAAAAAAAAAGGTGATGGTAACCTAGAGTAAATTGTAAATTATTTTTTCTAGTCTAAACTAAAGAGGAATATAAATATGACAATAATAACTTTTTCCGAAACAACAAAAATGCAATAAAAGAAAAATAAAGTAAATGGAGCCCGCATGTATTTCCTTGCGCCTCATTCTTCAATCGTTCCATTGTTATTTGTTTTGTCTTCACATGGTTTGATTCTTAATATTTTTTCAAGTTCTGAGTTTAGCTCTATTCATTGAAAATTTTACAATTTAGCCCAATTACCAATAATTAATTGGAAGATGTTTATTTTAGGGGTAAACACAGTCATAAAGTCAGGGGTCTTTGCTGTGTTGGTATTAGTATTTTTCAAAGTTCAATAATTTAATACGAGCACAATCTATGGGATCTTCCAGTTCCACGTAAAAGATTTCTAATTTCAGTTTTAGTTAATCTTGCAATTTTTTTTCGTCATTTTGTTCATTATTGATTTTGTCTGAAATGGCGTGTAAAGAAAAAGTAGATTGTGGGATCTGTTTAGTCTAAGTTTATAATTTTGTTTACTTGTTTTAATTATTTTGGGTACTGTTCCAATTTTATTTTATTTTTTGTCAAGTTCTTACTAGACATCGAATGTTTGGAAAATTTATAACCGGTGTTGGAAAAATTCTCAGGTTGCATTAAACAATAGGGAACTGCTTTTTTAAATCATGAACCGCTGATCTAGCTTTCTTGACGGTTCACTGTCCAATTCAATTGTGATAACACCAGGGGTGGATTTAGGGTGCGGGCAATGTGAATAATTGCCCACACTGCCTTGATCCAAATTCATAGAAAAAAATTAGAATTTTTTTTTCCATAATTTATTTGTTTGCTTAGATTTGCTCCCATAATCTGTATTTTTTGTTACATTTTCCCACAAATCTAGTTTAATATAAAAATGCTATCACCAAATAGTATTAATCTTCCAAAAATATGTGTTTAACAAAAAGTAAAAGATATTTGCGTATTTTTTGTTTTTACGCTAATTACTTTAATTCAGGGACAATTACTAGACAAGCCTTTTGAAAAGATTTTCTATCTAAAAAAATCCATCAATTTATTTTTGAATTTTCCAAATCCAAAACAATATTTTTTTTATCAAAATACCCAAAGTCAACACTAACTTATAAAACCATTATCTTTCAAGATATGTATTTCTATTGTGAATCTATTTAATTAATACACTAAAATATATTATACATTCATTTTATAATTTAATTTAATTGCTTGCTAAAAAATATTGAGTTTTGATTAATTAAAAATCAGTACTATTAATGGTGATTCTGTTTTTTTTTTCCTATCATTATATTAGAATTTAGGAGATCACTAATATTAACGAGTCATAAAATATTCCCGAGTTTCTTATTTATATGATAACCTTTTAGTTAAGTTATAAGAGGATAACAAGAGTTCTATCTTACTAATATTAATTAGTTGAATTGCATCAACTCCTAGTCACTATATAGTAAAAGTAATAATCTATAATAGATGAAATAAACTCGTCGATAAAAAAAATAAAAACTCTTATATAGAACCTCAAAAAACTTTTGTTGTCCTTTTAATTGCAATAAAAAAGAACCTAAACTTGATAATGATTTTAAAAAAATCAGTATCAAACTCATTAAAAACTATGAAATGACTTTATTATAAATAATTACTAAAAAATCCCCCTAAAAGATCTTCTATTTAAAAAATCCATCAATTTATTTTTTAAATCATTCAAACTTTTTAAAAAAATTATTTTATCAAAATAACTAATAGTTAACTAATGATGATTGACTATTGGGTGTTTTGGTAAGAAAATACGTTTTTGGTTTGAGAGATTTAAAAATAAATTGATAGATTTTTTAGATAAAGATTTTTAGAGGGGGTTTAAAAATAAATTGATACACATTTGTGTGTTTTTTGGATAGTTCATGGTAAATTTGTCCCCTGGATAACACTGTTATACTTCTTTCACGGGCTGTTTTTTTCTCTCTCTCTCTCTCTCTCTCTCTCTCTCTCTCTCTCTCTCTCTCTCCATATAGTACCTTTTCTGATACTTTTTGCAAAATGTTAATGTCTTCATTCTTTCATCTGATGTAAACCTAGGCCCATCGTCCTAACCGGACCTCAATTTATTGTGTCATTTTACAAAATATATTTGGGCCAGACCAAGTCCATCAGCCTTGCGCCTTGGGCGTCTGTGGCAACTCTCTTGTTTTGGTTGTAAGAAATTTTTAATCTCAACGGCTCAGTAAATTAATAAGAAACTTCAGTTTATTCTTAAACCTAAATACCAATTCTCATTTGCATTCAAAATCTATAAATTCTATCAATTAAATCTCAAACACCTTTTATATTTATCAATTATGTTTTTTTTGGTTAATTTTTTTTAAATAATTTAAGTTTAGTTTGCATTTTTTTACACTAAAATGATATCGATTTGTAGAAAGTTGGTTGGAAAAAATAAGTAATAATAATAATAAAATGATGTCAATTTGAAGTAAATTTGACAAAATTATTTATGAACATTAACAAGAAAACTCAATTGAATTTTTTTTGAAATGTTTGGACTTAATTGATAAGATCTATAGGTCTGGAATCAATTTGAAACGAGTATATGGGTGTTTGACTAAATTGAAGTTTTTTCTAAATTAATGGTTACTTACTTCCTGCCAATGAATTCGTATGGATCAGGTAAGGCTGTCAGCCTCTCGTCGGCCTCCTGAGAGAGAGAGAGAGAGAGAGAGGGTGTTTTGGCGCGGCGCGGCGCTATACTCTCGATTCTAAAGAGACTGGATTTTTTTTTCTTTTCATTTAATTTAAAAAAATTATTAATTGTCTGGTATATCAATATTTTTTTATTCATATTTTTTAATTAAAATTATTAATTATTAAATTTAATAAAATCAAATTAAGGTGATAAATAAATAAAAAATTTCAGTTAATAAACAATCAAGTTTAAAATAATAATGAAAACATAACATATTAATAAAAATATTTTACTTTCAAAGTTTCAACATACAATAAGAATCCTTATAAGAATTAATATTTTTCAGTAATAAATAGTTTTATTTTTAAATTTCATGTTAAAAGTATTTATACGTATAAAAAATATATGAAGAATATTGATTTTTAGCTAGTAAAAAAAAATGGAAGAAAGAATTGATTTTCTTTATGGATTAGAAATATTTTAAAATATATATATAGTGTTTAAAATTTTAACTAGATAAATATTTTAGGATAAATATAAATAAATAAGCAATGTTTTTGAGACGGAAAGAGTATCAATTACCCCTCTATTTTCATAATTCTATATTAATGTCTGGAGCATAATCATGTAATCATAGAATCAATAACCAAACTTAACAAGCAGGATATTCATACCTCTTGATAAATCTTCAAATCACAAAACTTGAAGAAGAAAAAAATCTCCTACATCCAGTTTGTGAATTTAACACTATAGCTGAATGATATCATTAAAGACCAAAATGGAGAGAAATTGACAATGTGAGTTTTTCAGTCCAATTTAATCAAACCGGACAGAAATTGGCAAATATGAATTACATGTGCAATTAATGGGTTGGATCAATGTCCAAGTGACGGGGAAGAGATTGGCACATTTATGATAGGTTATTACGTTGAGGTTGGCCCATTCTTAGTCTAGAATTCTAGATAAAGTCCATCTTGTTGTGAAGGAATGAATCAGAATAAATAAGTTTTAATCAATGTAATAAGAATATTCATTATTGTTTCAAAGATTCTACGTATTTTATTTATTTTAAATTCAAAAATTTCTGATACAGACATGTACGAAGTAAAGATATTCCAATCGTCCAAATAAAAAACTGTTACAAATAATAAAGAAACTAATAAATTTAAATAGTTCATATTAATGTAAATGATCGTCAGAACAACAATCTATTTGAAATTTGTTTACTAAGTTAAGGGCATAATTATAGTTTGCTCAAAAAAATTATTCATAAACATGCTAATTTGAGTTTCTAGAGCTACTATTTCATCGTTTCGTGTAAAACTATAACTATTAAAATAAAACATGCTTTCGTAAAATATTTGTCATATATAGACTAAGTTTGTTTCATGTGAGATATTTTCCTCGGTTTCTCATATTTGACAGAAAAACCTATATATGTCATTAAATCATGGATCACACCAGTAATTAATTCTTGTCTTTTCCTTTTTAACACTTATTTTTCATATAAACTAAATATTAAATAATTATTTTCAAGTCAATTTTATTAACATAATATATTATTTGAAAAAATACTTTTTCAGATAAAATATCTTCTAAAAAAAATTAATTTACATCAAACATATCTAAAAGGCAAAACTGCGTCCAAATTCTTTGTCATGTAATCCCATTTCATCTAACCATGTATTTTTATATATATAGGGATGATATATAAAATTTGGGCTCTCTCATAAAAGTCCATCAAAGCTGAGCTTTCAAACTATTATGAGTTTTAACCTCCTTCACAAAACTCAAAAAAACTAGGCCCTCGTGCAATTATTGCTCTCTCGTAAAATCCATCAAAGCTAAGCTTTCAAACTATTATGAATTTTAACCTCTCATAAAATCCATCAAACCTAAGCTTTCAAACTATTATCAATTCTAACCTCTTACAAGACCCACCAAAACTAGTTCTTCATACAATCATGGGCTCTCTTTTTTGGATCACAAAGCCACTTGGTACAATATTATAAAAATATACCTATTTTTTACTATTTCATACTACAAATATAGAAACTCCTATTTCTATAAAAATATACCTCACAACGTCAAAACATAAGTTTAAGTAAGGCAAAACACAAAACACATATAGAAAAATATATTTGTTTTTTAAATACATGTATCTCTTTTTCTCTATATGTATCATATTTAAAATATTGATTATCATGTCAGATACCTCCCAGACACTACTAATTTTAGTATTTTTTCCCTATGAACTTAGGATCAAAGAGAGCATCATTGTCATCGTACACTCTTTGAAGGAGGCTGAAGATTAAATTCGACGAATTTTGGTATCAAAAATGCATCATCATATAACAATTAGAAAGTTACCACTGAAAAGAATTTGAGCGAAAACCTTCATTTCGAAGTGAAACTAAAACCATCATCATTATAATTCGATCCTACAGTTTGCTTGTTACTAAGACACAGGTAGCCCCAGGCCCATACTAACAAGAACCGCCAGGGCTGTTCTAAAGGGAAGCCTTCTTGGCGTGTTGTGTGATATTTTGTTTTGTTCGTCTGATCATGCTTTTGTGCATGTTGTCAAAAGAAAATTGAAACTCTACGATGGGTCTCTCAGCCAGTCAAAAAGGTGTCACCAACTTCTATTATGCTATGTGCTTGACCGGCAAATTCAGGAAAAAAAAAAAAAAATTCCAAAACAGATCATCAATGTAAAACGCTTGTATATAAGTAATGTGCTCTGATCACCAGTCACCACATCATTTTTTTTCTCTCTTTCAAATTCAATAACATCACATTTGTTATCTTTGATATTTTACCTACAAACTGTTATAAACCAAACAATTTAACACCGTGGAGCTGACAATTAAAATCATAACCAAATATGAAACATGATAGAGAAAAATGATTGCAAAAAAAGTTAGTTTGAACAAAAATATTTGAACGAAAGGTATTTTAATTGTTCAATAAGTGGTTTCAAATTCAAATTCTTGTATATGTATAGAAAATTTTTTAAGTAGTTGTTTGTATGGCCATCTTGTACGTATGAAAAAAAAAAAAAAGATGAATTAGTTTAAGTTTTTGAATTTGAAATACCCGAGGATAAAAAAATAAAGAAAAATAGAAAACATCAATGTTTAGCCCTTTTAGAATTCCAAAATGGAATGAAAATCACATTTTCGCTAGTATTCTTATGATATTACTTGATACGTTGATAAAAAAAATGATAATAATTCATAATTTTTTTTTTTAAGACACAAATTGTAAGATATTAATTATATTTTAAATAAATAAAGTACTCCTTTTTATATAGTATTAGGAATATATTACGAGTACATCCAATCTCAAATAAAGTACAATGTTGTGGGAGGTGGTAATCAAATTGATTACTGCAAGAGACAACAGATAGGAAACTTGAACGACACAAAATCAGGGCAATCGTAAATTTGCATTTTCCTTCAACACTGACAAAGAAACTGTACTTAAATTGACATGTATTATATCATATCTCGTTACAATGCAACGCTCCAAGAAAATTAAGACATGTAATCGTAAACCTGTGTGCGTGAGAGTGCCTGTGAGTGTGTCTGTTTTAGCCTGTGCAAATCTTCATTTACTTCATTTTCTTCTCTTTTAAGTAGAAGTCAAGAACTTTTTGAACCATTGAACAGAGTCCTTGGGGTATCTCTTGAGCTTGTCCTTATAATCCACAAAGTAGAGACCAAACCTTGAAGTGTAACCAGCTGCCCACTCCCAGTTATCCAAAAGAGACCATACAAAATACCCTTTCACATTGCAACCATCTTCTCTGCAATAACCAAAACAATAGAATAGAATTAGTTTCCATCTCAGAACAAATATCGCTGAGGCATTTAGCTATCGAGTGATCCATACTTAATAGAAGCTAGCAGGTTTGTCAGATAGTCATTGTGGTATTTGATCCTTTTCCCATCCTTTAGAGCATCTTTAATGGGGGTCAAGGCGTTATTTGGATCATCCATCCCTGCAAAGACCACAAAAAAAGACAGTTTGTTTGTGATTATTCCTTCTTCATGACAGAGTTTTATAAGCATCTAGACATTCTCCATAATTGGAGATCAAGCAAAAATATAAAATTATGAATTACTTTATACGACAAGAAAAACACAGAAATTAATGGCTTTTCTAACAGAACCAACGATTATTCAAAAGATTACCATTCTCAGTTATAATGACGGGGGGTTCCCGTACTTTTTCCTGATGTAATTCATTAAGCTTCTCATCCCTCGAGGTACTATGTACAACCATATAGAATTCGCCTGCAGTTTTAGCAAGTGATAATGCATAGTTAGAAACACTAAACCCAAAAATTGCTTCAAGAAATGAGAGTCGATGAATTTGTCTGTATCTGAGAACGAGTTAGACAAACTGCAACCCAGTGCGGCTGGATTGAACAAAGAAGAACGAAATCCTAGCAATGAACACTCAAACGGTACTAGATTAGCCTTGTATTTTCTCTCCTCTTGATGAATGCACAGGTAATCTTTGCATTCATATGACATTGTTATTCTTAAAAAAAACCATTTGAACCCAAGAGGATAAGTTGTTATGTCGGTCTTAAAAATAGTTTTATGTTACTTTCTAACACAGCTATTAAATAAAATTTTAAAAATAATTTTTTATTACTTACATTTTAAATAAAAGATTTTTGAGTTTAAAATTTAGACAAGCTTATCATTATCTCATTACTTTGAAACTTGCATAAGCTTATCATTATCTTGTGCTTAATTATTTAATTAGAACAAACAAAATAAGATATGGTAAGATTCGAATTTGTGATAATTTGATCATAAAAAATATGATACATGGTTAATTCAAAAATTTAAGCCCTTAGCTGAGGGTTTTTGAATAATTTTATATTACTCTCACAGTTATGTCGTATGAATGATGAACGAAAATATTTTAGTTCAACAAGGTGCATACCCGGTCTCCAATGGGCTTCAAATTTTTACCAAAAGCTGAAAAGAAAGAGAGCACACATATTACAACAGTTATTGACAGATTACATATATATATATATTACCCTGCTGTTTCATTATCTCTACTAAGGATATAGTTGAAACGAAATTATTTTGGAGAGATAATTATAGCTAACTCACGAAGGGTTATGGCGCCAGAGTCTGCGAGAGAGTCATTAAGGACTTTGCCAATTAGATCTCCAAGCAGAGAGTCATTGCTTCGTGCATAAAATGTTGTGTAGTGATTGATGCCAATAAAATCCGAAGACCCTTTAACAAGAGCGATGTCATTTTTGGTAAACTTTGGCAGTCTATCTCCGACTCTGTTTCTCATTGAGGTCGGATAGTTGCCTAAGATCAAAGGTTCAATAAACCTGGAGGAAAAACATAATGAATTCACAAATTAGCATGGACAGATTTTAGATAAGTGCTGTTTCTGCACTAAAAGAAGTGTGTGATTATAGATACCAGCCAAGCTGAAAATCCTGGGCTCTTTGGGCAGCTTCGGTGTCATTTGTGGTGTTTGTTGCTGGTTCAAACCATATTACATCAAGTGATATGCCCAGGGATCCTCCTTGTTTTGCCTGAAGAATTTCATGACATAATATCATTCCTGAGCTTAGCGCAAACGAAAAATTATGGTAAGAGGTCACGTGTTCAAATCCTAGCAGACTAGTTCTGTTTGGATAAAGGAAAAAGGCAAGTTGTCTCGACTTAGCTCAGAACGATATATATATTGCCTTTACCTTGTACTTTTTCCTGTATATATCTGCCGCAGCCCCATGAGAAAGAAGCATGTTGTGGGCGACGATGTAGGGCTCCGTTGCTGAATTTCCAGCCCGGCAGAAGAGCTGGAGAAGGATAGAGCATCTTCCTGGAGCCTGGAGACCCACATCATAACCCTGAATAGCAACGGTATGAGGCTCATTGAATGTGATCCAATGCTTCACCCTGTCACCATAATTCTCAAAGCATGTCTCTGCGAATGTTGCAAAGTCCTTTCTGTACATGACAGAGGTCATCTTAACAACCAAAATCATAAAGCTAATTCTAATTGCATATTTGCAAAGTATGAGAACAATCTTTTACATGATCTGGGGGCTGAGCCATCCATTATATCTGTCATGCAAGACTTGAGGAAGGTCCCAATGGAATAGGGTCACATAAGGCTCAATTCCTGCATATATCATGCAGTATAAGAAATCTGAGTGTTAAAAACTATATTAAACCGGCGACAAAGTTGAAGAATGCATGTGATGTTTACAACCTAATTTGGATGCCGCACAAAGATACTTTTAGCTACATTAGTACGGAACTTTTAGATGGGGAGTGGCAATTAAGGATAAGTCAAACTCTTCTTCTAGCTCTGAATTGAAGTACATGATTCTCACCGAAGGATTATTGAATGTAAACGTTTACCTTGAGCAAGTAAAGCATTGATGAATTTGTTGTAATGATCAACTCCTGCCTGATTGATTTTCCCTGTTCCATCTACCCAGAGACACACAGTAAGAAACTTTTCTATGTGATCGTATCATGTCTCTACATAAAAGCATGCCAGTTACTTGTTTCTATTGCCTGTAAAAGCAAACTCTATATATAGAATGCGCTTACCATACTATTATTTTCATAAATCGCCCTTGAAATTGAATAACTGTGATTCACCAAAATAATAATAATAATAATAACTGTGCTGTATACTTACTTGGAAATATTCGAGACCAAGAAATTGAAAATCTGTAGGCATCCATTCCCATATCCTTCATAAGTTTTATGTCCTCCTGTTTCCGTATAACCATAAAGTCAAACGTTAAGATATATCTATAGAAAAAAAATTCGAAAGGCTTAAGAAGACATGGTATAATTGCTGATTTTTTTTTGGAAGCATACTAGGACTCAGTTTCATATCTACAAGTAATATTTAGCTGCTCAAACTTTCATAAAATGGGGGATTAGTATGAGAAGACGTACGTCAAAACGGTGGTATTGATCTACAGCTACATCAGCGTTGCTGAAATCAATTATCTTGCCTGCAGGACCAAATAACTTGATAAACTTGCTAACAGAAATATTGAAGATTTTGAAACTAAAACTTGACTGACAACTCCAAACTTCAGAGCTGGTTTCTGAACTATTTTGGGAAGCGAATTGCTATTTGACACTGCACAAATTTTCTCTGTGCGTTCAGCCACTAGCTTAATGATTGCAAGGCCAAACACTTTCACATGTTTAAAGTGGATTGACAAACACTCACAGAATTAGAAATTCCAAATCAAATGATAGCAAGTTTGAAAAGAAAAGTAGAAATTGCTATATGCCGCCTCCATAATTGATATCCAGGATACTCTGCTTCTACAACTAAATTTCGATTAAGCAAATTAAACTGAAATAGTCCTGCAATAAAACAGAGCGAATATCAAGGGCTCTTTGATAAGCACTTGCCAGAAAGGTTTTCGGCTTTCAGGGGTGAATATTCTCTAGAATTTGTTCTCTTGACTGTAGATCATGGAGCGGCATTAGCCCGTCTAAAAAAAAATAGTAGATAAGTGGAGACTTAAATCCGCTAATTATTTTGCTCAACTTGCTTCACTGTTCAGATTTCGACTGCCAGATCATTTGAATAACATTTACATTAAACTATGGTGTTTAAAAATTGTTGATAATTTCTTTTCTTTTCTTTTTTTAACGCAGTAATTATGCCATAAGATTAGTCCAACTGTTTGAAAATAAGTATTCATATCACTGTACAAACTGTGGACTCTGCTGGCAATGAAGTATTACCAAAAGTATGTGAAAATGCGTCCCAAACACTTGGTCCCCTTCCATCCTCTTTCACTGCTCCTTCATACTGCCAAAAAAAAAAAAAAAAAATTAAGAACAATCCTATATATATATATATATATATATATAATTGTAGCAATTGATTAACATCGCATTATAGTGCAGTAAGCTAAACATATCATGCATTTTTTGTGGACCTCTTTGCATGGCGGGAAGGTTTCTACCATATAAGAAGCAACGTTAGCTTCGTCGTCGCTCCCATTCGTAGCTGTAATATGTCCGGCAAATTAAGGACAAATCGTATGTGTGGAAGCAATATCCAAGGAGGAAAAAGAAAAAAAACTAAGTTCCGACATGTTTTCGTACAAAAATTCGGCCATTTGTAACTTATTCAATTTATGCAGACAATGATTATGTCTGCAAACAGATACTAAATAACAAAATTAGGGGTCTGATCAGCTGGCAGCTCACTAAAGGATCTTAACTCTTGTTTATCTTTGTATTTCCTTTACCTAAGTAGGACAATTGATGGAACATGGTTGCTAGAATTGAGAAAAAAGTGTGAACACATTAGGGTTGTCTTTTCTTTTTTTTTCTCTTTTCTAAATATCACACAAAATCAATTAGATTAACCTTAGACCAATTTTATAGTATTATGACATCATCACAATTACGAAAAAATAAAATAAAAATTATATTTAGCATACAAATTTCAATAGCAAATTACTAAAAGCCCATACTCTAATCCTTATAGATGTTAATTTCAATCTCATAATGATATTAAAAAAAAAAAAAACATAACATGCTATTAAAATTCTTCTCGACTTTAGATTGTGAAATCAACGCCTAAGGAAACAGTGCCACTGGGGACATTCAACTGAACAAAAACAGAAAAATAAATAAATAACAGAGAATAAGGTGGTTGTTTCATAAAACCAGGGAACAACAACAGCACCTCCGGAGCGGCCCGAGTTACTCGGCGAGTCTGCGGCCTCAATTATTTTTTGCGTACCAAGAATACTAGAATGGTTCAATATTATATTGACAAAATTGACCTTTACGCATCCACACTAACGATTACTAGCACGTAACATCAGGAAAATGTTTTTTTTTTTTTCCTTAAATAAGAAAAAGAAATACATCCCTGGAAAAAAGAAGGAAAAAGCAAGCATCTCTAAATTACGGGACACCACACAAGTGGTATTTGTCAAGAAGCAGCTAACAGACATATGCCTAAAGAGTAAAGATAGAACACAATTGGCTGAAAACATTAAAGAGCACGGCTAGTGTGTCACGTTGGAATGGTTATCACTTGGAAAGTTTTAAGCTTTAAGCAAATATATTTCTATTAACCAGTTGTAAGCCATTTTCTACAGAAACCACCAGGTAATTAAGCATCATTGGCAGAGCTTGCTTTAAGCATCGGTGGGTGAGTTAGGCAATGTCTGAGCTTTAAACTCAAAAAGAACACGCACACACTCTCAATAATACTTTGTTTCCCTCTAGTTAAAAAAGAACGGGCTCTCTTTTTAATCGATAGGAAAAATAAAAGAAAAGAAGAATCAGTATGCTTGACGGGCTTTCTCAAGAAGAAAGAAAGAGGTTCAACTAATTAAAAGAAATTACACAAACCTGGAAAGCAGAAGAGGCTGTCCCAAAGACAAAACCCTTTGGAAAACTTGCCCTGTTAATCTGTGACAAACACGTCTGGATCTCAAAAGCAACTAGCGCTATTATAACAAAGGCAATGCCTCTTCTCAGTAGCATCCTGTATTATCGATCTTTTGATACAGAAATCGATTTGGTTAATAATGATGGAGGCTACTGCAAAAGAGAGACGAGCAAAAAGAGGGAGGGAAGGAGAGTTTTTAAATCTGCACTGAGACAAAGACTGATTTGGATTTACAAGGAAAAAAGAGATATTGATTGAGATGTGAAGAACAAGAAGTCATAAATATTTAATATGACAAGAACTAGAAAGAATATTTATGGAGCTAGCTAAGATAGATAGCACTAAAACTAAAACTAATAATTTGGATTTATTATATTATAAACAAAATGGATGGAGATTAAAAGGGACTAGAGGATTAAAATAATCATGGCACAGTATGAAATGGGTTTCGGCAAAACTGTGTATGTGAAAGGTGATAATGAGACGGTGCTTGAGATTATGGTGGTGGTTGTATTTAAAGATAGGATGGTGGGGGACCGTTGGCCTTTGAAATTTTGTAAGTCCTACGTTCACACGTTTGCGTATATTCCACAATAAGCTTACATTCGATTTGCTTTAATATAATTAAAATTCTGTTTGTTTTCCGTAATTGCTTTTCTCGTTTTGGCAATGTTTTGTGCTGAATAACTATTCATTTATGCTGCACTTTGTTTTTTTATGAATATGTCGAGTTACTGTTGGATTGGGACACCTATATCATTCCCATAATGATTTCCAGAGAATCTAAATTCACGTGATTTTCTTATAGCTACCCCACCCATTACTAAAGCATGAATTAATGATCCACTTATTATTAGCCCCATGCTTTGATGACCACATGGCCTTACAGATTGAGTTTTCTCGTAATGGCCTTGGTTGAACTAAACTGTGGTAGGTTCACACTCTACACTGCATATGTATACAACATGCGCCGAAAATAGGCCAAAGAACATTTCTTCTTTCTACTTTTTAATTTGCAAATTGAAAATTGTCTGTTAAAGTCCCCCAGCCCCCCGCCGGCGGTTGAACTAAACTCCGGTGGGTTCACACTCTACACTGAATATGTATACAACATGCGCCGAAAATATGCCAAAGAACATTCTCTTTCTTCTTTTTGCAAAATGAAAATTGTCTGTTGTCGTTGGGCGACATCGAGGACGATGTATTTAGGCAAAAATATTAAAAAAAAATGAGCAAAATATGATTGGAGTCATCACTCAATATTAATGTTACTAAAAAACCTTATAATTGGTCTATTCGGAGTTCTAGATAATGAGTTTATTATGTATAAGGAAGATTAAAAATCACCCTAACCCATCTTACCATTTCGATTTTTAATGATGAAAGACTACGTCTATTTTTTTCAAATATTTGCCCTCTAGTCGAGTGATTCAAGACTTGGTTAGTCGGAGACCTTGTCCTCACTCTATAATGGATTACTAAAAAAAATGATAAATGCAAGGATAAATAGCACGAGTGAAAACGAAACTCAAAGTAAGCAAATAGGCAAATAAAGAAAATAGACGAGTCGATAAAATAGACGAGATAGACAAAATAGATAAAATTGACAAGTGGACAAAATTGACAAATAGGAAAAAATAGACGGGTTTGGCCAAATGAGCAAATAGGCAAATAATGGCAAAATTGACAAAATTGGCAAAACTAACAAAAATCAACAATTAGGCAAAAGCTCGACAATTAAGCAAAAATAAGCAAAATAGGTCATAATTGACAACTAGGCTAAAATAGGCAAAAATAGGCTGAAATTGGCAATTTAGGAAGAAAAAAATGGGCAAGAATCGACAATTAGGCAAAAATAAGACAAAAATTGACAATTTAGGCAAGAAATCGACAAAAATCAACAATTTAGGCGATCATAGGCAAAAATCGATAATTTAGACAAGAAATCGAGTAAAAATCGGTAATTTAGGTGAACATAGGCAAAAATCGACAATTTAGGAAAACATAGGCAAAAACCGACAATTGGACTAAAATTGACAAAAGACAAAAAAAAGTTAGTTGTCACAATATGCGTAATTGATTGTGTTTGACGAAAGCGATTCACACGACAAAGTCCAAACTTGCATGATTCGATATTGCATTTTTTAACAAAATTACCACGTAAGTAGTCCAATATTATTATCGGTAAAACGGTCTCAAAACACGATTGAGATCGATGCACTTTTTAAAAAAAGATATCGAATAACAATAAACATTCAAATACATCCAAACCAACACATCATCCGTCCAATCGAAACGTCACGACGATTTAATTTAATCACGCACCATCACCATTCAAATGAATCATACAAGAATCAACATATTAAGTTAACTATCCAATACAATCATTTAATCAATTACAAGCACATATTGATACAAATTACATTTAATACATATAAAAATAAAATAAAATCAAGTGAAAGTTAAAAATAGATTACTATAAACAAAATGAGCTAGATGGATTTGGTTGACGATCTCGAGGTCAAATCCAACCTTTTCAATCCCGATAGAGATCGATACTTAGTTAAACGAGGAGGAAATATGACTGTTAAAGGCGTACGCGAGTCGGATCCGGATCGATTGTTGATCGACGTCGATGGCGAGGGCACGCTACGTGGATGGGCTAACCGGAGGAGGCGCACGCCGAGTGTTGATTGGCACGTTAGGCACGAAGGTAAGGCGTGGGTGTCCCGGTTGGCGGGGAGGCGTGCGTGGAGGGGTTGACAGGTTTATAGGCGTTGCACGAAGAAGATAGTGGTGCACTGGGGCCGATTTGGAGGGCGTGCACGTGATGGGAGCTAGCTACGGACGAGTGCATGGGTGAGAGGAAGAGGGGCTGTGAGTGTGCGGCGGACGAGGCGCGAGAGCCCGCCGGGGCGTCCGGTTGAGGCACCTGCTACATGCTAAGGCACCTAGCCGAGGTGCATTACATGTGTAGGTGGATTAGCTCGTATGGGCGGAGGGCTTGGGCGGCCTGAGTGCTTTGGGTGTGAGAGGAAGGCCTGGATGGACGGGAGAGGGTTGTTTGGGGGCCGTGGGTAGAGGTGGCTTGTGGGCGTTGGATGAGGGCGAGTGTGAAGGTTGTGGCAAATGTGCTTGGTGTGTGGATGCTTGTGGCTAGGGCAATTTTTGAAGATAGTGAACGGTAATTAGTCCTAATTTTAGAACAAAGGGTGTTTTTATATTGGTACTTTAGGATTTTTTTGGCTAAAAATTGGTTTGGTCTCTCATTTCGCAAACCTATTTTATTTTGATTTTTTTCTCCTCTCCTTTTTAATTGCATCCCCAATTGTATTTTTTTACTCCCTTTTCTTTTTTATTTTTATTTATCTATCTTCCTTTTTTTTGTGGAAAAAATTGAGTGCTAACATATGTTAAAGTTGCCCCCCAAAAAAAAATCATGATGAAATTAGGGATATGTTTGGTTTTATATTCTTGCCGTTCCGAAATAAACATACCAACTTAATTGAAAAATACATAAATTATATTAAAGTAACAAGTTAAATGCTTCAATAAGTTCCTGCTATTTATGATTAGAATTGCAGCTTTTTTTTTCATAAAACCTTACTTTAGGTATTGTTTTGTATAAATATGGTGTTCTTTTTTTAGGAAAAAAAAACAAATAACGTCTTAATTTGGTTGCATTTTTGCTTCTTTTTTTAATTATTTTAAAAATTAAAACAGGTTTTTTTTAAAAAAAATATTTATAATATATCATGCTCGTCAATATTACCACCACCACAACCATCACTAAACCATTAATATCAATTCGTTAACATCATTACAACCATCGTCATTGTTATAATCCCACCATCATTACCATAGTTATCACAAGTTCACAATCGCTACTTTCATTTCACGTTTTCACCCCGGTCATTTCTTTTAACATTATCATCGTTATCATTGACTTCATCAACACTATCATCAATATCTTCATAACCTTTACAAAAATATTAGGACTATATTTACCTCTTTCATATTATTGCAACCACTTCTATCATATCATTATCACCCATTACAATCACTATTAGTTATTAATAAAATAATAATCATCATAAATTTGGCATTACTCTAACCCTTATGATCACTTTTAACATCATATCAATCATCATCATGTTGTGATTGCAATTATCATTGTCATGCATGTTCTTGTTATGATGCCACCATTTAATCATAACAATTAAATTACATAATATAATTATTTTTTATATCTTTTTAATTAGTAACATATTGTTCTATTTTTTAAATTAAGTTTGTATAAGAAATTTTCTTCATACATTTTTGTTGAAAAGACAAATAATTTTCAAAAAATAAAAATATTTCCCCCAATTCAAGATTGGTGATTCATATTGAAGATTAAAAGTATTGAATGAAATCCAATCAAAACCATTGAAATCATGTAAAATCTAGTTGGTTGGAATATAATCAATTTACGTGTTGGATCGATTGTCAAGAAAAATGAGAAAATATTGCTTGTAGAGTTTGAATTTGGTATGCTCATCATTTTAAAATCAAGCACTTACAAATGAGGTCGTAGATCTTCGATGGAATGAATGGGTGAATGAGCTTTTTCTTTGGCTGATTATGTGGTGATGATATGTCCTTGTGTTGTGATCTTGATGTTAATACATACAAAACAAATGTTTAATGGCAAAAATTACTCCCATTTTATTACAATTTGACAATTTTAGGCTTTTATTATTAATTCGCATAATTTGAACTTCAAAATATCAATTTTTATGCAAATCTTATCCAAACTATATTTGCAACGATCAACTAAGTTGGTCGGAATACGATCAATTTAAATATTGGACTGATTGTCAAGAAAAATGAGAAAATATTGCTTGTAGAGTTTGAATTTGGTATACTCCTTGTTTTAAAATCAAGCACTTACAAACGGGGTTATAGATCTTCGATTGAATGAATGGATGAATGAGCTTTTTCATTGACTAATCATGTGGTGATGATATGTCCTTATGTGATGTTAACACATACAAAACAAAGGGTTTAAAGGCAAAAATTGCTCCCATTTTATTACAATTTGGCAATTTGAGGATTTTATTATTAATTTGAATAATTTAAACTCCAAAATATCAGTTTTTGGGAAAATCCTATCTAAATTATATTTGTAATGATCAACTGAGTTAGTTAGAATATAATCAATTTAAGTATTGGACTAATTGTCGGGAAAAATGAGAAAATATTGCTTGTAGAGTTTGAATTTGGTATACTCCTCATTTTAAAATCAAGCATTTACATATGAGGTTGTAGATCTTTGATGGAATAAATGGATGAATGAGCTTTTTCTTTGGCTAATCACGTGGTGATGATATGTCCTTATGTTGTGATCTTGATGTTAATACATGCAAAACAAAGGGTAATGATAAAAATTACTCTCATTTTATTATAAGTTGGCAATTTTAGGCTTTTATTATCAATTTGCATAATTTGAATCTTAAAATATTATTTTTGGGTAAATCTTATCCAAATTATATTTGTACTGATCAACCGAGTTGGTTGGAATATAATCAATTTAAGTATTTGACTGATTGTTAAGAAAAACAAGAAAATATTGCTTGTAAAGTTTAAATTTAGTCTACTCCTTGTTGTAAAATCAAGCACTTACAAAATGAGGTTGTAGATCTTCGATGGAATGAATGGATGAATGAGCTTTTTCTTTGACAAATCACGTGATGATGATGCGTCCTTGCAATGTGATCATGAGGTTAATACATGCAAAAATTGCTCTCATTTCATTAGAATTTGATAATTTTTTATTTTTATTATCAATTCGCATAATTTGAATCCCAAAATATCGGTTTTT